CACTGGGGGCCCTCCCTCCCTCCCTCCCGGTAGTGGCGGGTGGAGAGCGCCGAGGAGACTCGGGCTGGATGAGCCCTGCTCGCCAGAGGGGTGTCCCAGGCTACGTCCAAGTGGTGGTGGTGGTGGTGGTGGAGGAGGAGCATTCTCAAGAGCGGGTGCCCCACCGCAGCCCATGCCGGGTTGGGGGGTTGGAGGCGCTTTGAGATCCGGCCTTCCCTTGGGAGCTGCTGTGGCTCCGGATAGGTTGGGTGCTCCCTGCCGGGCCGCCTGGCCCTGCTCCAGGGGCAGCCGGCTGAACCCGTTCTCTCGCAAGCACCCTCCTGCAATCCCTTTGCAATGGGCTGCCACTTGTTTGCATATCCTGGTTTGGAACAGGAATCCCTTCCTGCAAGCAAGCAGCAGGAGCAAATGTACCCATGGATGCTTGGCAGAAGCTCACTGCCTCTGAATGGCGAATAAAGGCTGCTTCTCCAAGATCCTAGCTAGGGGTGGGGTGGGGTGGGGGACAGACTGTGCTCTTGCACCCAGGCCTACAACTGGCGGCTGTGGCCAAAAGTGCTTTGTGGCCAGCATTGACTGGGTAGCCGGCTGCAGCCTTTCCTGAGCAGCAAAGATCTGGCCACTGGTGCGTGCCCTTGTTACATCTTCAGTAGGTGCAGAGTGCTGTTTAGTGTGGGTTGTACGGACCATAGAACTCCAGTCTTTGCTCAAGACTGGTTTTTCATAGTCATTTGTAGCTTAAAAGAGGGTTAAGCAACAAAAGGCCAAGGTTGCCCCTAGCAGCACTTTCAAGCAGCCTCGAGTTCTGCGAGTTAATGACTTTTGTTTAAATAAGACCGAACTCTTTTAATTAGACAAGTGTTTAGCAGCTAAGTACAAATGCAAATTGATACAATCATTACTGAAAAAATGTAACGTCGTATTCTTTGAACAAGCCACCACAAAAATCTTGATTTAGCCATTATATGACAGTTTCATAGAGAAAGTAACAGTTAAAAACAGAAGTAAGCATTCCTAACTTTAACATGTAATTGTCCACTAGATAATATGGTGAGTTCCCAAAAGATTTTCTAGCTAAACAGCAGGTGCATTACAGCATACATCTTGACAGTGCCCATTAGTTTCCCAAGCAAGATTAAAAGTGCAATAAAGCTACTATTTCTACAGCTTTTAAAATTAACTGTCAAGGATAAAAGAAATCCTGTGCTTTCGTCCTGACCAGCTGGTGAGTTCTACAGAGGTCATAAGAACTACCTAACAACATACATGAATAGCATGATTTAAGACTTATGTGACATCCCCCATCCAGCAGGTACTTGCCCACAACCCTGGTATAACTACAGGGTTATGCCAACTACAGGAGCAGCCAGCCCTTCCTCCCCGCCTGGGTACACACCACACCCTATCCCAGCACCAAATGGACCCCAGTGATGCGGCATGGGAGTCTGACTCAAGGGGGCACAACTGGAGTGTGCGGTGACTGCCAGCCACTGTGCTCTATGTGCCTCCAGGCCAAACACTCCTGGTACCTGCTGTCTTGCAGGACTGGAATTCTATGCAGCAGCGACAGGCATAGTTGAAGTGCTGCGCCACATGGGATGAGGAAGTGTTGTTTGGATGGGTAGGGCATGTGCCTTGGGGGAGTAGCCTGTTAGCATATTGCCTTATCTTATTAATAAATGTGGGGAATTATTAAATGGCAATAGGCATTAATTATAGGACCATAACCCATGTATACCAGACTTTGACTTCACAGTCCCTAGAAGTGATCTCTCTACTAAAGGATTCTCACCCATACAAATATAAAATCAAGCATACGCACAGATCTAGGATAGAAGAGCACAGAGACATGTGCATTAGCAGGAAGTATCATTGGTGGGGTGATGCTGTATCTGTCTGGTAAGGCAAGTTGACTGCAGCAAAAAAGGGATAAAATATGGGATTGTGAGTTGGTCAGCAACACACATGGGAAGTTCTAAACAGCACTACAAATGGAACCAGCAAGATAGGGTGGGCTTAAGAAAGGTAAAAGCAAGAGAGAGAGCAATGGCTGGATGCTCTTTTTATACCTAAAATGTGACCTGAGGCAGTTGCCTGTTGTCACATGGTCCCCAGGAAATACTAACTGACAACTTAAGTCCAGCATAAAGGCTCTGCTTTTGGGCTACAGCCTTGTCCGTGGCCCTGACACGCTCTTTTCACCGCTCAGGTAGGCAGTCATGTTTAAGAGTCTGTAGTAATGCCATTTTAAGTGGCTGTTTGGCAACACTGTCAAGTGGAGCCCTCTCTGTGGTGATGGGGGAACCATAGGCCCTGCTGCCTGGATCTCAAGTGATTCAACAGGGAGACCAGGAAGGCTGACATTCCTAGTTCAGTATGGCCTAGCTGCCGTATGGCACTGTGTGTAATATAGTCAGGAGATCTGAAGATTGTCTGGCAGCCTTAAATTCTAGCTCCTTAGCATCATGCACCACTAGGTGGTGAGCTAGAATTATTTTTTTTTGGGGGGGGCTCAGCTCTGAAAGAGCTGTGACTGACCCAGGGTCACCCAGCTAGCTTCATGTGGAGGAGTGCGGAATCGAACCTGGTTCTCCAGATTAGAGTTCATCACTCTTAACCATGCTGTGGAAGTGTGCATGCACACGGAAGCTTATTCCTTGAGTAAAACTTTGTTGGTCTTAAAGGTGCCCCCACTGGATTCAGACTTTGTTCTGCTGCTTCTGACCAACACGGCTGACCCCACCTGAATCTATCTCCATGTGCATCCTGCCACCCTGCCAAGGGGCTGCCATCTCACCGGTTCCAGCATGGCCCAGGCAGCCGTCAGTCTGGCACACCCACCCCATTCAGAGGTGTGCTGTCACAGGGAGGGCTCACTCCATCTCCTCTGGCTTCTGGGAGCAGCTTGCGAAGGCGCAGGGCCTGTGCCGGACAGAGGGTGTGCAACCGCCTGCATCAAATCTCACTACTACTCCTTTGCTGCCGCCGCCCTTCAGTGTAGTTTGCAGCTGATGTCCCTGTCTGTTTTGTCATTTGTCAGATTTCTATCTGGCCCTCCCAGCCAAGGCCGGCTTGGTGTTGGGTGGACGAAGCTTACTCTGCACCCTCTCCCAAGCCCCACCTCCTGTGCCAGTTACTCCTACCTGCCTTCTGTAACTCCCCTATAGGGTGGACAGTGATGCCAGGGCTGAAGTGGCCAGTCGGCTAATGGTCAGTGATGTTCCTCCTCTGCATTGCTCACTTGCTTCACTGGCTGGGGGGGTAGCCTTGGGGGTGGGGGGCAGTGTTCCCTCTAAGCTGAGTTAGTGTGAGCTAGCTCACAGTTTTTTAGCCTCCAGCTCACACATTTTTGTCTTAGCTCAGGAAAGATGGCTCCAAAGCAAACTAATGCATGCAGTAGACAAGTGGCTTGCTCACAACTTTAATGCCAGCAGCTCACAAAATAGAATCTTTGCTCACAAGACTCCACAGCTTAGAGGGAACATTGGTGGGGGGACCGTGGGGGTGAGCCCAGCCTCAGTGTCATGTTTTGCTGCCTGTTGGATCATTCCCAGGAGGACAGGCACGCTTTGTCTTGTGTCCACCATCCTTGGCGCCCCGTGGCAGGAAGCCACGGATTCCATCTGCCACTTAGGCACCCTTCCCCGGTGGGCTACAGGGGACGCAAACAGACTTTGCTAGGGCTGCTCTCTTGGTGCACCAATATCTGCAGTCCCCCCCACCCCCGGCGGCAGATGGCAAATCAGTGACAGGCTGGTTCTCACGCACCCGTCTGTGGGGTGCACCAGAGTGTGCTGATTCCAGGGCTCCTCCTGCTCATGCCACAGTCCTCTTTGGGAGCCGTGCTGTCCCTGGGCCTCTCTTCCCCGGGGTGGTGGCAGCCACATTGGTGGGCTGTGCCCATGTGTGCCACACAATGATGTCGCGCACACACACCCGTGATTGTTGCTGGGGTTGCTGGAGGCTCCTCTGCACTCGCTAGTCAACGTGGGCCTTGCAGGGCGGGGGCATGTATTGTCCCCATCACCCCCCCCCCTGCAGAATGCCCAGCGGGAACCAATCAGAAGCACCCCTTTTAGGCTGGCCCTGCGGTGGCCCTCAGGCCTGGGCAGTGAACTGGAAGTGTCAGCAGCAGCATCCCTGGGCCTGAGACTGTGGAAGACAACTTAGTGGGAGGCTCTCCCCGGCCATTCAGGGTGAGCCAGTCAGATGTTCTGCATCCTGCCAGTGGCAGCTGAAGGCTGACAGAAAAACCCGCCCTCCTTCTGCAGCCTTGGAGGAGACAGGTGCCACAGTCTAACCTGGCGGGATGGCTGTGCTTGAGTGGAAGTGGACATTCAGGCTCCCTTTTTCCACTGGAAGAGCCAGCCTTTTCAGCTGGTGTGCCAGACAGTACTGTCCAGTCTAGTACATGGGAAGTTCCTTGTGAGGTGTGGTTTTGCTCGTAGTTCACTGTTCCAGGGAGCCGGCATAGTGGTGGAGAGGCAGGCAGGAGACCAGCTCCCCTGCTTTTGCTCAGGAGGGTCATGGGTGAATCCGTGCCTTGGGTTAGTCCCTTCTTCTCTGACAGCCCCGCAGCCGCAGGGCTGTGGGTGTGGCTTTGCTGGTTGCTTGTGTTCCCAGCAACAGCCGTGCAATTATGCCTTCCCCTTTTCCTGGCAGTGGGGCAGACGTGCCTGTCCTTTGCTGAGAAGTCATATCCTACAGGGCCGACTGCGCCTCTGCATTCAGACGGAGGGAACAGACCCTACGCGTTGGAGCTGGTGCCACAGAACAGGTGAGGGTGTTGGGTGCCGGCAGCGGGCCCAGGCCCAAGCCTCTCGGGGAAGCTTTTGCACTTGTGTCATCATATCACCAAAGAAATTGCCTTGCTGGATAGAGAAACAGGAGTTTAACCCTAACCTTGTGTTTTATGTAAAAAGAAAGGTAAAGGAAAAGAAACAAACAGCAGAATTCCTGCACTTTATGGCCTCTTGAGTCTGCTGCTTCTTTTCATACTTCCTACATAGATACTACATACTTCCTAACAGCGTTCCGTGCAACTTGGTGTTTAGTCATGTGGGCCACATGACCACGGAAATGTCTTCGGACAGCGCTGGCTCTTCGGCTTTGAAACGGAGATGGGCACCGTAACCCTAGAGGGGTTACATAAATACGTTGTCTGCAGAGTGAGTTTCCACTGATTGTATCTGAAGAAGCATGCCCTAGCCCACAAAGGCTTCTGCTGGAATAAAATGTTGCTGGCGCCACAACATTCCTCTTTATTTTCGCTGCAACAGACTAGCATTGCTGCCCCTCTGGAATTATTGTCTTAAAAGGATGAGATCCAAAGGACCATATAGCTCAACACTCTGGTTCCAGTACTGGGCAGGCGGAGGGCCCTGGGAGGCCCACAAGTGAGGCAAGAAGGATGCTCAGCATCTGGTACTCCAAGTGCCACTCTGCATGGAGTGTTCCAGGAGCCGGCTCCAAAGGCCAAACTCTTCCAGTCTGGAAAATGTTGACATCTATAAGACTGGTCTCTAGCTGTGCACTCCTGAGGAGGTCTACCCAAAATCCTACTCAAGTCTGCTCAGTTGGGCTGACTTCTAGGACAAAGTTCTTAGAATCGCATTGTAAGACATGCCTATCCCTGCCGGGGTAGATTTAGAGAGCCGAGCCTGTCCGATTTAGAGCTGAAGAAAGGCCCTGGGAGTGTGATCATTGCAATGTGAATTAGATTTTAAAGGTTGGCCTAGGTTGGACTGCAGTGAGTTTTTAACATGCCTCTGAACACTGCGACAGCCGGTCTGGCAGCCTGGCTTTATTATGAGGCCCTCCGGTGGTCAAAGCTGAAACAGCAGGTGCTATCCAGGAGACAGAAGCATCCCACCTTGCAAAGCGGACTCCGGCTCTGCAGTGTCTTTTGCCTCTCTGGCCTTGCTTGGTCTTGAGGCTGTCACGAGGCCTAGGACAAACCTGCCATTTCCAGAGGCTGCTCTTCAGAGTGCTGCCATTCTCATTACTTCAGTGAGCCTGGCATGTTTATAGCTGGCCAAGCAGGACTTGGCAGTGGGCAGAGATATGTAGGCTGCTATCAGAGGCAGGTTGAGATATTCAAACACTGCTGGAGCAAGCAGAGCTAAGCAGCCCTTGCAGGGCTGGCAGCACCACAGGGGCCACTCCGCTCAGGCCCAGGTTGTAAAGCAGAGAAATCTTCAGTGCAGTGGGACCCAGGCCAAGCAGACCCTACAGAGCACCCAACTCAGCCTGGCTGCTCTTGGCAGTGATGTGGTATGTTGTCTAGGTAAGGGACAAGAACACAGTAACATAAAAGAGCCTGGTAGGATGACAACCACCAGTCCATTTAGTCTGTCGTCATGCTTCTCACAGTGGTCATCTGGATGCTGCTGGGATGCCCGCAAGCATGGCACAATGGCCGTCCTCCCCTACTAATTCCTCCCATATACATATACCATTCTAAATCTAAACAGAGAACTAAGTGACTAACAATTGATGTTGTTGTTCAGTCGCATAGTCGAGTCCGACTCTTCGCAACCCCATGGCCTTCCTTATGGTCCATCTCTCGCAGCCATACAGTACTACTGGGAATACCGTTGCTTTGACCATACAGACTTTTGTTGGCAGGGTGATGTCTCTACTTTTTATTATGCTGTCTAGGTTTGCAATGATCTTGGATCCCTTTCCAGTCACCTGCATGGAGTGTGCCATGTTTGTTTTCCTCCCAGAAGACAAGACCCAGCTGAGCACTGAGGAGACCCAGCTGAGCAGGAGCAGGAGACAGAGCCGCTAGAGGGGTGAGTGGTTTTTTACTTGCTTCAGCTGAGTATTCAGTAATTAAGAAAAAGCACCTTGCCAGAGGCATGAGCCTCTGGCACGAGCCGACGGGCGAGCTAAAGGGCTCTCTGCCTGTGGCTCTTAGCCTAGGGACTCTTAGACTAGGGGCTCTGTTACAATATATCTACTTTTGCTTTCAGTTTCCTCCCCACATGTCCCCTCATATCAGAGAAATTACCCCTTTTAAAGTTAAAAGTGGTTGTGTGAGTCTTTTTGGCCAATTCCCTATTTATACAAATGTTGAAGTCAACAACATTATGGTCACTGTTCCCAAGCAGTGCAATCACTTTTACATCTCTCACTAGGTCTTGAGTGTTACTTAGGACCAAATCAAGGATCGCCTCTCCCCTGGTAGGTTCTGTGACCATCTGCTCCATAGCACAGTCATTTAGAGTGTCTAGAAACTCAATCTCTTTTTCTCGACTAGAACACATATTGACCCAATCAATGTGTGGGTAGTTAAAATCAGCTATTATTACACAGTGTTTTTGTCTAGTTGCTATCTTTAAGGCATTCATCATTTTATAATCCTCCTCTATCTTTTGATCCGGTGGGCGATAACAAACTCCCAGTGTTAAGTTTCCTTTTGCCCCCCCTATTTCAACCCATAGAACTTCCAGAAGCGAATCCAATTCACTTAGCCTCTCAATCTTTCTAGACTTTATACCCTCTCTGACATACAGAGCTACCCCACCTCCAACCCTTCCCCCCCTATCCTTCCGATATAATATATAACCGGGAATCACTGTGTCCCACTGATTTTCCTCATCCCACCAAGTTTCAGAAATACCCACAATGTCTATTTTTCCCTCCCTCACCAAGCACTCCAACTCCCCGATTTTACCTCGGACACTTCTAGCATTTGTATAGAAACAGCTGTAATTTCCCTTACAAGTTAAGCCTGCATCCTTCCTCTTGCTATCTCGAGTCGTTGTCCGGCAGTCCATGTCACCAGCCATGGCCTCTGTGGACAATTTCAATCCACCTCCCTGTAGAAAAGCAACCGGTACCCCCTCACCTCTCTCAGATGAGCCAACCCGAACCAGAGACTTTTCATCTCCTGTCGGCTTTCCCCCAATATTCAGTTTAAAAGCTGCTCTGCCACCTTTTTGATTTTAAGTGCCAGCAGCCTGGTTCCTTCTCGGGACAAGTGGAGACCGTCTCGCCTGTACAGCTCCCTCTTGTTCCAAAAAGTATCCCAGTGCCTAACAAACCTGAACCCTTCCCCCCTACACCATCGTCTCATCCACGCATTGAGACTCCTGATCTCTGCCTGTCTCTCCGGCCCTGCGCGTGGAACAGGTAACACTTCTGAGAAGGCTACCTTGGAGGTCCTGGACCTAAGTTTCCTGCCCAGCAGCCTAAATTTCTCCTCCAGGACCTCACGACTGCATTTCCCCACATCGTTGGTGCCGACATGCACCACGACCACTGGCTCCTCCCCAGCACTATCTACCAGCCTATCTAAAACACGCGTAATGTCCGCTACCTTCGCACCAGGCAGGCAAGTCACCATACGGTCAGTACGCGGGTTCGCCACCCAGCTGTCTACCTGCCTAAGGATCGAATCACCCACTACCAAGAGCCCCCCTCCCACCCTGCTCAGGGATGGTTCCTTGGTGCAAAAGGAGAGCCGCTCACCAGCTGGGGAAGAGGTCCCTTCTGAGGGCACATTCCCCTTATCCTCAGCATGGTGCCCTGTTTCCCCTAGACCCTCATGCTCCCTGACAGCAGCGGGGCTGCCAGATCCAGAGTGGGACGAAGCTAACAAGTCCCCGAGAGTCTTTTCTGTGTGCCTAGCTGACTGTCTCTGCTTCTCCAGGTCAGCCACCTTGGCCTCAAGGGAGCACACACGTTCCCTGAGAACCAGGAGCTCCTTGCACCGAGGACACACCCAAGACTTCTGCCCAGTGGGCAGATAGTCATACATGTGACACTCCGTGCAAAACACTGGATAGCCCCCAACCCCCTGCTGGCATTCTGGCTTCATAATTCTTTTAAAATAAATAAATATAATCCCCCTTTTAAACCCTTGGTATTTATGTGGGTTTTGTTATCAAGTCAAATTATTTTACGGGAAAGACAAAGAGCCTAGGGCCTTGTCTTTCTGGCTCTTTTTGGGCTTCTTACAGCGCCCCTAGTCTAAGAGTCCCTAGGCTAAGAGCCACAGGCAAAGAGCCCTTTAGCTCACCCTTCGGCTCGTGCCAGAGGCTCGTGCCTCTGCCAAGGTGCTTCCTTAAATAGAGGCCTCCCCCAGCAGAGGTCAGGCAGCAGCTATTCAAATTCAAATTCACCCAGGCACTCAATCACGGTCTACTTCAGCCTCTTCTGCATCAGTGGTTGGGGCATACACTTGAATTACTGTGATGTTGAATGGTTTGCCTTGGAATCGGACAGAAATCATTCTGTCATTTTTGAGATTGTATCCCAGTACTGCCTTTTGCACTCTCTTGTTGACTATAAAGGCCACACCATTTTTTCTACGAGATTCCTGGCCACAGTAGTAGATATAATGGTCTTCTGAGTTAAATTCGCCCATTCCTGTCCACTTTAGTTCACTGATTCCTAGGATATCAATGTTCAGTCTTGCCATCTCATTTTTGACCACGTCAAGCTTACCTTGATTCATAGATCTTACATTCCAGGTTCCTATGCAGTATTGTTCTTTGCAGCATCGGACTTTCCTTTCACCATCAGACACATCCACAACTGAGGGTCCTTTCGGCTTTGGCCCAGCCGCTTCACTCTTTCTGGGGTTACTTGTACTTGCCCTCTGCTCTTCCTCAGTAGCATATTGGACACCTTCCGACCTGAGGGGCTCATCTTCCGGCGTCATATCTTTTAGCCTTTTGATACTGTCCATGGGGTTTTCTTGGCAAAAATACTGGAGTGGGTTGCCATTTCCTTCTCCAGGTGGATCACGCTTGGTCTGAGTTCTCTGCTGTGACCTGTCCGTCTTGGGTGGCCCTTCACGGCATAGCCCACAGCTTCATTGAACATAGGCTTTTAGATTCCTACCTAGCGCCACATTTTTTGTATGGGGGAGGGATTGCCTACCAGCACCCAGGCGGTGCATTCTGTTGGTGTATTCGAGCGGGCTTCAGATGCTACTCCCGGCGCCCTAGGACGTGTCGACGACTTCTTCTGATGGGCTCCCCCGGCGTGCGTGAACTGCAGCTCCGGCTCTCGTCCCTTCAGGCTCTGCCGCGCTGCGTTGTCGCATTGTTGCGCCGCCACAGCTCCGCCTCCATCTGGCCTCCACCGCCACCCAATGTCACTGGGTCGCCTACTGTACTGCCGCCGCCACTCCTGCCGCACACCATCACAGGAGGAGGGTGCCCCCTGCCACCTAGGGGCAGGTACCCATTTTATCTACTTGCGATTACGCTTTCGAACCGCTGGGTGGGCGGGAGCTGGGACTAGGACTGGGAGCTCACCCCGGCCGCAGTGGGTCTCGAACAGCCACAATGGCTGTTCATTGATGTTACTGCAGGCGTCTTTACCGCCTGCGCCACCACTCCCTTTTCCCCAGGTATTGATGTCAAGTTGACAGGCCTGTAATTTCCTGGGTCTGTCTTTTTTCCCTTCTTGAAGATTGGGACAACATTTGCTCTTTTCCAGACTTCCGGCACAACACCAGTACTCCAGGACATCTCAAAGATTAGAGCCAGAGGCTCTGAAATAACACCTGCAATTTCTTTTAGCATCCTGGAGTACCCTGGAATCAGATTGGAGGGAGGTGTCCAGTGGGGTGCCGCAGGGCTCGGTTTTGGGCCCGGTACTTTTATTTATTTATTTATTTATTTATTTTATTAGGTTTATATACCACCCTCCCCAATGGGCTCAGGGCGGTGTATAACAGTTAAATATACAGTTAAAACAATATTAAAATGACAATTTACCCATAAAATACCATATAATTATAATAATAATAAGAAGAGATTGGATTTATACCCCGCCCTTCACTACCCAAAGGTGTCTCAGAGCGGCTTACAAACTCCTTTCCCTTCCTCTCCCCACAACAGACACCTTGTGAGGTAGGTGGGGCTGAGCGAGCTCTGACAGAAACTGCTCTTTTTCAAGAACAGCTTTTATCAGAACTACGGCTTGCCCAAGGTCATCCAGCCAGGTGCAAGTGGAGGAGTGGGGAATCAAATCCGGTTCTCCCAGATTAGAGTCCACGCACTTAACCACTACACCAAGCTGACAATAAAAGTTGTCAGATGACTAATCAGAACAGGCCTGATGGACAATTGGCCTGGAAAAATTGGGCCGAAAATGTTAGGGCCAGAGAAGCTGGAGGGAGGGAGAGGGGGGAAGTCAGCTGCCTCAACCAAATGCCTGGCGGAAGAGCTCCGTCTTGCAGGCCCTGTGGAACTGCAGTAAGTCCCACAGGGCCCTGATCTCACACGGGAGCTCATTCCACCCTTCAGGGGCCAGGGCTAGCTGGACGTCCTTGGGGCCAGGAACCACTAACAGATGTTGATTTGTGGACCTCAGTGTCCTCCGGGGCTCATATAGGGAGAGGCAGTCTCTTAGGTATGCTGGCCCCTGGCCATATAGGGCTTTAAAGGTAAGCACCAGCACCTTGAAACGGATATGGAATTCAATAGGCAGCCAGTGCAGTTCACGCAGGACCGGGTGGATACAAGCCCACACAGGTGTCACCGTCAAGAAGAAGACGAGACTGAATTTATACCCCACCCTTCACTTGCTGCCACATTCTGCACTAGCTGCAACTTCTGGAGCAGAGTCATGGGCAGCCCCACGTAGAGAGAGTTACAATAATCCAGTCTGGAAGTGACCATTGCATGGGTCACTGTAGCTAAGTCCTGGGGAGCAAGATACGGGGTTAACTGTCTGATCTGCCTCAGATAGAAAAAGGCAGACCTGGCAGTGGTGGTGACCTGGGCTGCCATAGAGAGGGAGGTATCCAGGAACACCCCCAGACTCTTCACACTCAATGTAGGCACCAATGGAGCTCTGTCAAAGGTTGGGAGCCTGAACCCCTGACCTAGTCCCCTGCAACTCAGGTACAGGACTTCTGTCATAGATGGATTTAACTTCAGTCGGCTCTGTCATAACCATCCAGCCATGGCCTGTAATGCCTCGTTGAGATGTTCTGGGGCCGTGTGCGACCGGCCATCCATCAGTAAATAGAGCTGGGTGTCGTCTGCATATTGGTGACAACCCAGCCCATACCTCCGGATAATCTGGACAAGGGGGTGCATATAGATATTAAACAGCATGGGGGAGAGGATGACTCCCTGCAGAACACCACATACTAGTGGGTGCCGCTGGGATAACTCCCTCCCGAGTGCCACCTCTGTCCCCAACCCTGAAGGAAGGAGGCTAGCCATTGCAAGGTAAGCCCCCATATCCTGGCATCGGCGAGGCGGTGGGTTAACACCTCATGGTCAACCATATCGAACGCTGCCAGAATCAGCAGCGCCAAGCCACCTCGGTCCAGATGTCTCCAGAGATCATCTACCAGGGTGACCAGCACCATCTCCGTCCCATGGGTGGGGCAAAAGCCAGACTGAAAGGGATCCAGAACCTTAGCCTCATCCAAGTACACCTGAGGCTGTATTGCCACTGCCCTCTCAACCACCTTACCCAGGAATGGTAGATTTTGACACTGGCCGGTAGTTATTAAGGACCGTCGGGTCCAAAGAGGGTTTCTTAAGGAGAGGACGAACTACTGCCTCCTTCAGTCCCTCTGGGAAAGTCTCTGTTGAAAGAGACAGATTTATAATCTCCCTCAGGGGGATCTGGACCTCATCGCCGCAGGCCTTGATCAGCCACGATGAGCAGAAATCTAGGAGGCAGGTAGTAGGCTTAACAGCTGTCAGGATCTTGTCAACTTCGTCCTGAGAGAGCAGACTAAAGTGGTCCAAGGTTGGACCTGAAGACAGCCAATGAGCTTCCAGTTCTCTTATTGTATCAATTGTGGACGGGAAGTTGCGGCGGAGCGACAGGACTTTGTCTGCAAAATGGATCGCAAATGCCTTGCAGCCGATAGCCAATTCCCTAGCATTTGGTATGCCTTGAGGCAGAATAGTCAATGTCCGAATAATTCTAAATAATTGAGCTGGGCGAGAGCTAGCAGATGCAACGGAGGGCACATAGAAATTTCTCTTCGTGGCCTTCACTGCCATCTCATAGGTTCTCATAAACAACCTATAGGATGTTCTTGTGGCATCATCACGAGTTCGCTGCCACCCTCTCCCTAGCCGTCTTAGCTCTCGTTTCATCCGCCGTAGCTCCGGGGTATACCAATATATTTCAGTATTTTTATCAGTGATCTGGATTAAGGGGTAGAAGGGCTACTCATTAAATTTGCTGGTGATACCAGATTGGGCGGAGTAGCAAACACCCAAGAAGATAGTTAAAATTCAACAAGACCTGAATACTCTGGAGAAGTGGGCAGTTGCAAACAGGATGCTATTCAACAAAGATAAATGCACAGTATTACATCTGGGCCACAAAAATGTCAAGCACAAATACTGGATGGGGGATACGTTTCTGGGGAGTAGTGTATGCGAAAGAGATCTTGGGGTAAGGGTGGACTGTAAACTGAATATGAGCAGTCAGTGTGGTGCGGTGGCAAAGAAGGCAAATTCAGTCTTGGGTTGTATTGAAACGGCCATAGCATCGAAATCGCAGGAGGTCACAGCCCCTATTTATACTGCCTTGGTCAGGCCGCACCTGGAGTCCTGTGTGCAGTTCTGGAGGCCTCACTTCAAAAAGGACGTGGGCAAAATTGAGAGGGTGCAGAAGAGAGCGACGAGGATGATCAGGGGTCTGGAGACTGAGCCTTACGAGGAAAGGCTAAGGAATGTTTCGTTTGGAGGAGATTGAGGGGGGACATGATTGCTCTCTTTAAATATTTGAAAGGCTGTCATTTGGAGGAGGGCAAGGAGCTGTTCCAGTTGGCAGCAGAGGATAGGACCTGAAGTAACGGGTTTAAATGACATGCAGAAAGGTATCGGTTTGGGTATTAGGAAAAACCTTTTCACGGTCAGGGTGGTTCAAAGGTGCAATCAGCTGCCGAGGGGGGTGGTTAGCTCCCCTTCACTGACAGTTTCCAAGAAGAGGCTGGATGAATATTTGTCAGAGATGCTTTAGGCTGGTCCTGCATTGGGCAGGGGGTTGGACTAGATGGTCTGTATGGCCCTTTCCAACTCTGTGATCCTATGACCCTTTATTATATCTTCCCCCTTCTCGCCTTCCTTGTAAAAGTCCCAAATCCTGTAGCCTCTCCAATCCCCTATTCGTGTTGCCTGCCCTTTTCTACACCTTTCCTTATTTTATTTTTAGATAGGATGACTGAGCGCTTGTTTGGGGCTGGGAAAACTTGGATTCACTTCGTTTTTTTACAACATTTTTACAACATTTATGTGCCTCCTCTTCAGAGACCTGGCTCACAAAGTAAAATGAGGCAAACTCATGATACAAACCATGTAAAATTAGCATTCAGATTATTAAAACAAGCCATAAAAATTCAACAATAGAAACCTAGCGCAGAGAGCAGGGCTCCGGAGGAGGAACTTAACAGGTGGTCTGGACAGTATGGGGAAGGTGGCTATTCAAATACCTGGCCCTGGGCCACTTAGGGCTTTAAAGGTGGGAACCAGCACTTTCAATTGTGTCCAGAAACAACTGTGCAGCCAGTGAAGTTCTGTCAGCACAGGGGTGACAGGATCCTTGTATCCAGCTTTCAGAAGTAATGGGCATGGGGGCAGCCAATGTGTGCGAGTGGTTGTGTGTGACAGAGCAAACTCTCTGCTGAACTTGGAACTCCATCCAGCCTGCCTCAATGTTCTCCCTGCCTGGGATTGGGTATAGTAACTCTGTGCCTTTCTACTGTCCTGCGCCTCTCTTGGGAGTCTTCACTGGCCTACTCTGCATGACTGGTGTCCATGCCGGAGACTGTCAGTACCCTGGGCTGCCTCCTGTTGGGGAGTGGTTAGAGAATGGCTCCCTGAGTGTCAGTGGTGAGGGTTCTAGTCTGGCATCTGGGGAGTAGTCACTGTGGAACCATTTCTTCTCCCACCCGGAGTGTGTTGCATGCATCCACATGGGCCCCCCGTCAGGCATGTGTCCTCAGCCCCACCACAGGTCCAGATCAGCCATCAAGGGGCACCAGACGTAGACCACGGCACAACTCCACAATCCCAGCCCTGCAGAGGGATATCAGCTATCCACAACGGCAAGGGGAGTGCAATGGCATGGCATTCACTGCGGTTAGGGGTGGATTGGAACAACACAACACTGAACTATACATTCCCCCCTCCCCAGTCTGGGCAATTGTGCACCTGTGCCATGGCCACTGGCCACCCTCATGCAGCCCTCCCAGGAGCTAGGCCAGGGGGGCCATTGCAAGAGAGAGCTGGTGCAGGCTAACCATGATGACCCACAGTCCCATTGGTCTTCTGCCCCATGGTGAGCCTGCCGCAGCTGCCAGAAACCCATGCAAATTCAGCCCACCTCCTGCAGCAGCTGCCGGATGATTTCTACTGTTGGGTCTAATGATTGTGACAATAGACTTGGTTCCCTGGGTGAGATTCCATGCAAGAGTTTTGCAATGGGCCCTACTTCCATTTCAGAATAATGACATCAGAAAGAAAAGACACAGGTTCATCCCCCTCTCGACCAAAGTGAAGAGTTCGCTGACATGGTGGGCTTCACCGGTACACCTGGGTCCCCCTCTTTCAGAAGCCCAATGTAACAGTGACCACAGACACCAGCCTGAGAGGTTGGGGGGCCACTGCATGGACATGACAGTACAAGGCAAGTGGAGTGAGGAGAGGAGGAACAGCATAAACCCATTGGAGCTCAGAGCGATCCATCTGGTGCTACAAGCTTTCTGAGACATTCTGAATTAATATTTGTGTTGATCTGTACCGACAAAACAACGGCAAAAGCTCACATGAATCGTCAGGGAGGTACGAAGGTGATTCTTCTGCATCACCAGTTAGGAGCCGCCACCGAAAACGCCCTAGCCTTAGTTTGGGCAAACTTCACGCCTTGGGGGCCTGGGACTTCCAGGAGGTGGAGACTCCCCGATCATAGTGCTCTTGGGGGAACATACGGGAAGAGGCGGTCCCTTAGGTAAGCCGGACCCTGTCTTAATTGGGTTTTGTGATGGATGTTAGCCTTTTCCCTTGATCGAGTCTTTTTTATTTTTGTCGGTGTTTTCAGACCTAACCCTAACCAATTGTGGTACTGTGGATTAGAGGGGATTATTTCACGCCTTGTCAAATAGTTTATAACCGGTTCCCAGTTTCGCATGAATTTTGCATGTGTCTTAGTATTTTGCATTTGTGCACTACGCACTATGATTCAGGTCTGTTATTTTCGCCATAATGAACTGTTCCCACAATTTATCTTGCCATGTTTTGAGATTTGGAGGGTTTGGTGTTTTCCACACTGCTGCTACTGCTAATCTTGCGGTTGCCAGTAGCACTGAGGTGATTTCTTTTGCCTCGTCTCTTACTGTATCATCCCATTTGTTCATTAACATGACCTCCGGTTTGCAGGAGATCCTCTGTGAAGTCATCTCATTTATGCTTGTATCACTTCCTTCAAGAACTTAAGAATCCTTGGGCAGTTCCACCAACAATGTAGATAAGAACCTTTTTGCTCGCATTTTTCCCAGCATGAAGGGTCAAAGTTTCTGCTGATTTTATGTAATTGTTTTGGTGTTATATACCACCTGGAAATTAATTTAAAGTTCTGTAAGCGTATATTATATATTGTTGAGTTGTTTGCTGGGAGGACCAAATTATGTCCCAGTCTGATTTTTGCCACTGTGTATTCAGTTCTTCCCATCTCAATTGATGTTTGTCAGCAAGCTGCCAAAGGTTTTTTCCTGTGTATGTATAATTTCTCCCCCCCCCCCAGTCTCGCAAGTGCGGTCAGCCTATCATGCGCACATCTTCCCATTAGTCTGCTATCTCGCCAAGGCCACAGGTGGAAGAGCACAGAAGGCTTTGCTTAGTCTTTAATGAGCAGTAGTTGTGGGAATAGATTAATTGTTTATAGTTAAGGAACCGTTGCTTCTCAGGGTTTAAGCGCGAGCGGGGCCTTTTGGCTGCGCGCGGGAACCATATCTATTGGTTATTGTAATTATGAACTTGCTTTATCCTTTCATGCACCTCAACCTTCGTTATTCTGAACAGTGACCCTGTTCTAGTGCTTCATGGCTTCAATAAAGTAAAACCTTCTTGCAAGTGTGTACTACGTTGTTTGCTGCGGGGACCTGACAATGTTTTAGCTTCGTTTGATTTTCAGCCTGTATTATTATTCTGTAGAGTCTGGAAAGTGTCCCTTTAGGTGAAATTGATTTGCTTGATTTCTTGAGGCCTCTGACATTCAGATTGTCTGTAGCATCTTCATTTTTCTGCTCCCCTGCCTCTGAGGAATAGTTGAGGGTGGAGACTACCTTCTTGAGCAGTCTCTGATAATGTTCAGGTTGGAACAATCTGGTACAACTCTTGGTGTCAGACTCATCACCCAACCGTTCCCCTTCCTCTTTGTCAGAATGGATGGATGTGGCAGAGATGATAGATCCTGCATCTGATCCCAGTCTGCACAAAGGTTGTTTCCTGCCATGGTGCAACTTGGGTTTTTTTGTGGGGGGAGGGGGGGTTAAAGAGTCTGCACTCTTGGACTGGGCTCTCCTTAATTGTCTCTTTTCCCCTCATTTCCTAGGGACCTCCCCCTCTGAAGATGAAGACGATGATTGTGTAGACACTGAAATGGACAGGCTTGAAGTTCTGTGTCTTCTTTTGCTTTGGGGCCCTTCGGAGACCTTGCCAGAAGATCACTCATGTTCACCCGATCTAATAATGGTAGGCTCCTGCTCCTCTTCTAATTGGCTAAAATTCTGATGTGGAAGTGAGTTCATAGCAGGGGGCGCTGTGGAAGCCAGCTAACTAAAGTCCCCCCTCTAAGAAAGAACTGCGCGAAGAAGCATGTGACCGCCCGGAAAAAAGACGGAAGGAGAAGCAAGAACATCTGCGGAAAAAAGCCTTCGGAGGGTATCTGGTAGGGTTCCCATCCCCCTGAATTTGTGGCCGTAGTTAGGATTCTAGAAAGTGTGTGTACACACGATACTCTGTAAGCCGCCCAGAGCCCTTCGGGGGTGGGTGGGGTAAAAATCCCATGTAATAATAATAATAATAATAATAATAGTAATAATAATAATAATAATAATAATAATAATAGATGGAGGCAGGGTTTGTGGAAGCCAAGTTGCCCTCCAGTTATTCAAGGACCAGTCAGTAGGGGGCTGCCCATAAAGCGCGTGGGGAAACGTGGTGGCAGCCATGTTGGACCTGGCTGCAGCTGTCGTTCCTGCCATGTTACAAGGAACCGGCATGAAAGGGGCCCCATAGAAGGTGTAGCCAGCTAGCCTGGAGTCAGGTCCTGATGGAGGAGTGTCTAACAGACTGGGGACTCTCAAATAGTGCACGGACTCACTGCTCCCTGTAGCGGGGCTGCTGGAGGCAGTACGTGCCACAGTGCGGCTTGCATCGTCTCCTTCGACCCTGCACCTTTTGTCTTCATCCCATCCTAGGCTCCCAGAGGCCTCTGGAGCTGACTGGGATGCCAAGGGCCTGGAGATTGCCACAGTGGCTAGGTGGGACCCCGAGGCCTCGGGAGCACCCACCCTGTCCTGTTGCTCCACAGCAGCAGCTTTCTGTGGTCCTTCCCCTCTGCCTGAGGCCTCAGACAGGTAAGGCTTGCCTGAAGTCTGTTCCCTTTTTCCTGAGGCCACCGGACCTGGAACCTTCTTAGAGGACTTGGCATCCATGCTGCCAGCACTTCCGACAGTCCCTCCTTTTATTATAATTTTATTATATATTTTTCTTTTTGGTAGCTTCTGCTGACCTGGTGAGTGGAGCTAGGCGCTAACGACCTACTGAAGCGGCAGGGGTATTGAAACTGGAAGGGCGCCCTCGCTCTGTTCAGTAGGCATACACAAAATTTGCACAGCCCTGCCTGAAGCGAGAAGAGGTGTGGCCTAACCAGTCTGGATGCCTTTCCCCACTGAAGGAGAACCCCATAAGCAGAGAATCTCAGATGCTGGGGTACATGGGCAGCCACCCAGCATCTCTCTTCCGCCCATGATGCTGGGCAGGGTCCAGGTGTAAGTGGCTGCAGACGTCCGGACACTTCAGGCCACAGCTACAGGCTCTAGCTCCTGTAATTTAGCCTCAGTTTCGCACTGGCTTTTGTGGATTCAACAGTTCTGCAAGATAGAGCTTGCTTCTGTACTTCTCTCTGGCCATGAAGTCTGCCTGCCTGTGATTCCTCAGAGCAAACAGGATACCTGGTGATGGGGATTCACTGTCACTGCCTCCCATGTCCTCTGTGGGGGAGCTGAGGATGACGATAGCCTCAGAGAATGCTAGGAGGCTGGCAGTGAGAACTCTGACAGCATGGAATGTGGGCTGGAGGCTGATATGGTTGTTGCCCCTGCAATTCCTCTGTTGCAACTGGATTCTGCCCAGGGGGATGGCTTGCCCCCAAGGCGACATCACCGCTGGCCATGGTGGTGGGCTTGAGGGGGCTGCTATGTCATGCCCATGGACTCCATGCCATCTCCATGTGGGGCATGGCAGCGTCTTAGGAAATGTGGCAGTTTGCTGCTGCACGGGAGAAATGTGGCTCCTGCATGGGAGAAAGGAAGGGACATGGTGGTGGTGGTGAGTGGCTAAGAGGGAACCATTGGGGTGGTGGTGGTGGAATGCCCCTGTGGCACACGCACCTGCCTACTTGTCACCACCCTCCATTCGCTATAGCGTGGCTGGGCAGCATGACTCCAGAGGTCCGTTGTGACACTGGAGGAGGAAGGGGTGGTGGCTGGGTTGCCCTGTGGTTCGGCTACGTTTTCTTTCTGCTGTGCCTGGAGCTGAACTGTTGCCTGACCAACACCATGGGATTCCGAGTCCCGCCTCATTGCCTCCCATGCCCTCATTCGTCTGGCTCACGCTGTCCACGAGAAGTGGGAGATCTGAGGAGTCTCCCACAGACTGTAGCAGAATGCCCACCACATCTGCAGGCAACATGGGACCAAACGTGGGCCTCCCACAGAGTCAGTGCAGCGTTGGCTGCCCGGAGGGTGTGCAGACGTGGCTACTAGTGGCAGGGTCTCCGTGTGTCAGCTGTCACACACGTGCCTGGATCCATTCCTACACCAGCCCATGCACAACACTTGTCTGGGCTGGGCCCTGCTTCCTAAACTGGCGGAGCTCTTTCTGCTGGTAGCAAGGGCAACACTGCATGCTTCACCAGCAGCTCATACAGGAGCTCAACCCATGTGACTACCCAGAGCTGGTTAAATGCTTGGGACAAAAAACAACTCTAAGTTAAACTCCACCCTCTTCCAGGGCCTGGGACAGATGGAGACGCCATATGAAATTAACTTAAAAGCAGACCCTAAGCCTTTCTTCATCAGTGTTCCCAGACAAGTGCTTGTCCCACTCTTGAGCAAAGTCAAGAAAAACCTGGAAGAAATGACTATGGTGTGCGACTATGGTTATCACCAGCATTGCAAGTGGAGATGTACATATCTGTGCAGAACATGGACAGGGGGGAAGGGACCAATCAATGGGCAGCAGTCCTGGGGAGCTGGGCCTGGGACATTTGCAGTGTGGGGAGGGGCAAGGTTGGCTCAAACCATGCCAGACACCCCCCCCACCCCTGCCGACACACCCACATAAAGACACCACCACTGCAAAGCAAAACAGAGACAGCAAACATGGGAAAGCGGTGGCACCAAGCGCACTGACACCCCCAGGGCCAGAGGACCCTAGGGTGCAGAGTGCTGGCCCACACACCAGAGTGGCAGCAGGGGTGCACAGCACTCAGCACTACACATGCCGGGCAGCGCCACAACTGCAATGGTGAGGGCACCCCATGAGGTGCTCCTGGGGATCCTGGCACCCAGTGGTGATGAGAGGGAGCAGCTACAGGGGCAGGCACGAACTTAAGGGCAGACCAGGAGAGGGAGGATGCAGGAAGGGTTGCAGCCTCAGTGCTGAGGTCTTGTGGCCCTTTCTTACCCGCCCAGGGAAATGCTGGTCGCCACTTTGGGGTCAGGAACAATGTTCCCTCTAAGCTGTGGAGAGTCTTGTGAGCAAAAATTCTACTTTGTGAGCTACTGGCATTAAAGTTGTGAGCGAGCGATTTGGCTCCTGCATAAATTAGTGTGCTGTTCTCTGGAGCCCCATCCTTCCTGAGCTAAGACAAAATGTGTGAGCAAGAGGCTAAAAAAGTGTGAACTAGCTCACACTAACTCAGCTTAGAGGGAACACTTGTCAGGAAGCCATTTTTCTCCTGCCCAGTTTGGCTGGAGACCCTCGAGGTTTTTTGTCATCTTCTGGGCATGGAACAGCGGTCACTGTGGGTGTGGAAGGGGAGTGTGAATTTCCTGCCTTGTGCAGGGGGTTGGACTAGATGACCCCAGAGGTCCCTTCCAACTTTGCGATTCTATGATTCTAGGCCCAACCACCAGGCCGTGGACCGCAGCCAGCAGGCCTGCAAGCAGTCCCTCAATATGCCTGTGGCTCATTCATGCTCCCAACAGCAGCCACCCAAGGTGGCCCACAGCTGCCCTCTGACCCTCAGCAAGTTTGTTCTGGTACTGCTGACCCCAGGACAGAGCATCTTGTTGTTTCCTCTTGATGGATGTGAGGGGGGGGGGAAGATGTGTTGTGTGGGTAGTGGTCCCCATACCCTGGGACCATAATTTTTTTAAGAGCCCCTCCCGAGAGCTGGGGGAGCCAGAATGACCTCTCGCGTGTGATGTCCGAGCAGCATCACACGCAAGAGGTGGAATTTGCCCCTACAAGTCGAAGGCCACTACCCCGGGGCTCAGGGAAGCAGGAGAACGGTTCCCCCCGCCCCCTGCGTTGCAGCCGCCGCCGAGAACAGTGGACAAATTCCACCTCTCGCGTGTGATGTCCGAGCGACGTTGCCGCTCCAACATCACACACAAGAAGTCATTCTGCCTCCCCCAGCTCTCGATAGCTCTTTAAAAAGTTATGGCCGCCGCCGCTGTTCTCTGCGGCAGCTGCGACGCCCGCGCGGGGGGGACGACGACACATTCCCTTGCCTCCTTGAGCCGCGGGGTGGTGGCCTTGGAATCCTAGGGGCAAATTCCACCTCTCATGTGTGATGTCCAAGTGGTGTTGCCGCTTGGACATCACAGGCGAGGTCATTCTGGCTCCCCCAGCTCTTCTTAGAGGTTCTTTAAAAAGTTATGGCCGCTGTCGCTGTTCTCGGCGGCAGCTGCGACACCCACATGGGAGGGAGGAGCGGCGTGAAACGCTCCCTTGCCTCCCTGAGCCCGAGGGGGGGGTGGCCTTGGACTCGTAGGGGCAAATTCCACCTCTCGCGTGTGATGTCCAAGCGCCGTTGCTGCTCGGACATCACACGCGAGAGGTCATTCTGGCTCTCCCAGCTCTCGGGAGGGGCTTTTTAAAAAGTTATGGCCGCCGTCGCTGTTCTCGGCGGCAGCTGCGATGCCTGCGCGGGGGTGGGAGGGGCAGGGCAAAACGTTCCCTTGCTTCCCTGAGCCTCGGGGTGGTGGCCTTGGACTCGTAGGGGCAAATTCCACCTCTCGCGTGTGATGTCCGGCGGCAACATCACACGCAAGAGGCCATTCATGGCATTAGGCCATAAACTGCATGGCACTGGGCTGGTGTTGGCAGCCGAGTTGAGTGCCATGGCTGGAGCTGTGTACCTCTGCCCCCAGCCCAGCTTGGGGTACAGCCAGGCTGTAGGGGTTGAGAGGGCAGGTAATAGGAGATGGGCTGGGACCCCACACTATATGAGTGGTGTCACACCTATGGGATGTGTAACAATTCTGCAGGGCCTGCAAGATGGAGCTGTTCCGCCAGGCCTTCGGATGAGGCGGTGGACATCCGAATTCCACCTCAGCCTCCCCTGCTGACGATGCTGGCCAAATGGAACCAGCTCAAACTGAGCATCGCTGTCCAGGCAAGTCCACAGTGTTTTGTGTTCAGTTGGTTTTTTTTTTGAGAAATAGGGTTTTAACTACTTGATTTTTACTGTGTGATTTGTGACCTGCCCTGAGCCTGTTTGAGGGGAGGGCGGGTTAAAAGTCAAAGTAAATAAATAAATGCCTCTGTGCCGGGAGTGGCGAGGTTGTTGCATGTGCCTTGGATGGTCCTGGTGGGCCACTGTGGATGCTTGAGGTGCTCTCCGTGGGGGAGGGAGAGACAGTTTCCCGCAAAGGGCCAACAGGCCACTATGGAACTGCAAGGGTATCTCCCCCTGCCCCATACAAAGTAAGAGTCCTTCGGCATTATGGCTGGAGGGTTTGGACCCTCTGCTTTGTTTCTCTCTCGTGTTCTAGCTGTTTTTCACACCACAGATCCTCGTTTTTCAGCTTATTCAGCTCTAATTCTTATTTCCTCAAGTCTGAGTTTCTCTATCTGCTGTTTGGGGGCCCGTAGAATTGGACCCCCTGGTTCAATGTTCCTGAAACATGGTGGGTATCTTGGGGAGAGGCTCCAGCAGCTACCCTGCGAGTTTGGAGCCTCTCCCTCAAACCCCCTCCCCTCCAGCCCCCAGACTCTACCCTATGTTTTCGCCATTGACTTCAATGGCCCATAGGATATAATGGGGCCGAACTGCGGGAAGCTGATTCAGATCAGAGAATCTGATTCGGCCCGCAGCAGTCTGAAAGCAGCCAGAATGGGCCATTTTCGGGGGTGCATTTGGTTCAGATGAACCGAATGCACATCCCTCCAGCAGCCGGCTTGCTCGGGCTCTCTGCAGCCGTGGGGATCCTGAGCAAGCCAAGGGAATGGAAGGTGGTTTAAACCGCCTCTCCTTCCCTCCAGCAGCCGGCTTGCTCGGGCTCCCCGAGCAAACCAACGGAAGGGAAGGTGGCGGAGCAGCTGGAGACATTGAGCCTCAGCTCCACAAGTAATGAGCACTCGAGCCCCGCCCCCAGCAGCCCTCAGGCCGGAGCACCTGGAGCAGTCTTGGGAGGCGGATTGGCAAAAAGCAAAACCAAAAGTGCAGGAACTCGAGAGAACTCCAGGAATGGAGTCGGTTCCTCTTCCACAGCCCAAAATGCGACCCACGAACCATGAGCTTGCCTTTTCTCATTTGTGAGTCTGGCCTCCGCACTCCTTTAACGAGGCAGCCCTGAAGCTTGGGGCAGCAGGAGTTTCTTTGCACGCAGCTTGTGCGGCTGGCTGCCTCTTTTGCTTGCCCACCTCTCGCCTCTGCACCTCATCTTCTGCCAGGCATGGAGGAGCCCAGCTCGCCCAGGCTTCTTACCTCCTGCTGCCTTGGCCCTCTGGTGCATGGGTGAGTCCCCAAAGTTTGACTCTTCCTCTACAAGTCTCTGGCGCTGGAGGTATTCGCCTCCTTCCCTCCTGCCTGCTATGGCTGCATAATTGTGAGAGATTTCTTAACATAGTGTTCCTGCCAGGGAAGCTGGGGACCCTGCCCATGAGTCTCCATTTCATCCTCACAACAACCCTGTGGGGTAGGTTAGGTAGAGAAGGGGAGATTTGGCCCGGGGTCACTCAGCCAGCAGAGTGAGAATACAAACCTGGGTCTCCCCACATCAATCTGCAACTCTGACCACTGTGCAGTGCTGCCTCTACTGATCTGTAATGTTCCAGAGGTGTTGTAATGTAATACTCAGTTTCTCAAACGAGTGTATGCCTGTCTGTTGGTCCACTTAGGAGTCTTGATCCTGGTTGTGTGGTGGGCTAGTTGTGGCAAATGGTAGGGAAGCTCAGTATTTCTGTATACAGTTGTAGGGGCTTTATTGCAATGTGCTATGGCCTGATATTATGTTCTTATTCCAGTGTGGAGTGTGTGAAACAGACACCCTGTGAGGTGGGTGGGGCTGAGAGAGCTCTTGACAGAAACTGCTCTTTCAGGAACAGCTGTGCCAGAGCTTGTGACTGACCCAAGGTCACATCAGCAGGTGCAAGTGGAGGAGTGGGGAATCAAACCTGGTTCTCCCAGATTAGAGTCCGCACGCTTAACCACTACACCAAACTCGCTCTTACCAAACCACTGGTATAGTGGTTAGGAGTGGTGGAATTCAAATCTGGACAACCAGGTTAGATTCCCCACTCCTCTACATGAAGGTGACCTTGGGCTAGTGGCAGTTCTCTCAGAACTCTCTCAGCCCCACCTACCTCATAGGGTGTCTGTTGTGGGAGAGGAAGGGAAGGCAACTGTAAGTCACCTTGAGACTTCTTGAGGTAGAGAAAAGCAGGGTATAAAAGCCAACTCTTCTTCTTGGTTCTTGAAGTGGACCTTCATAAAAATTAGTGATTGATCCAGCCTCACTGTCATGTTGGGTTTTTTTTTCCTAATCATCCTGCAGCAGTGCTATGTCCCGTCCACACAGATTAGATGGGAAAGGGGTGTTGCTCTTTGAGAGCTAGCATAAGGGGTAGATGGGCTACTTTACCCCACTCTCCTCTTTTTTACTCTGGATAATGTTTGTTCTTGAGCATTTGTGAAAGGATGTACAGAAGGAAGCTGCACAGGAGTTGGGCAAAATTTGGAGATGCGCCTTCTTTATTCCACCCAGATGTGGAGGTGGGGAGGGTGAGCAGAGGACTGGTGGTATTGTTAACAACATGGGATGGACATGGTAATGGAGGAAGTATTGTTTCCACTGTCCTCAGTGATAACGTGGGCACTAACCAGTCATGCTGTATTGTAGGCAGTGCTTTAAATAGCAACAGTCCTGCTAGCTGGGGAGAAGACCTGAACATTTTCCAGCAACCATATTTTGAGTCAAGGAATAACTGCACACTTTCAGACTTTCCACTGGATCCATTGGAGCTAGAAGCTTGCTGAGAGCAAACAGACCAGCAAGAGAGCTGAGTTTCTTGGGTGGCTGAATTTTATATTCAGTCTCAAATCCGTGCTTGAGTGGTGACATTTAGCCTTGGTTTAATGCTTCCTTCTCTTCTGTATCCTTGAAGCACTATGACTCACTGCTCCCATGAGCAGTGCCCCTACCAGCTCCTCTCTGGAGAGCCCCATATTTCTGAAGAGTTGCTGGGCCTGAAGTTTCGCATCTCCCCAGATGCCTTCTTACAAGTCAATACAGCCGGGGCGGAGGTTCTGTACCAGACGATTGGGGAAATGATCAGAGCTCATAAGGACACCGTTCTGCTGGATATCTGCTGTGGAACTGGTGTGTATTGGTAAGGCAGTGGGATGGAGGGGCAGCTGAGCACAATCTTGAAGCTTGATGGGAGTCTAGATTGAGTCAAGGGGTCTAGGTTTTCTGGGAATTCTCCTATTTGTTAGCAGCCCTCAACACCTACAATCATCGCTTCATCTTTTTCTAGGTGCAATTGGTCTCTCTCTGGCTGAACAAGTCTCCAAAGTCATTGGTGTTGAGGTGGTGGACCAGGCGGTGGAAGATGCCAGGTGGAATGCGGCATTTAATGGTGTGAGTTTAATACAGTTGACTAAATGGCTGTACGTAAAATAGAAGTTGCATCTAGGGGTGTGCAAAAAAAATGTTTTTTCCCCAATTTGCGTCTATTGGACCTGAAAAATATCGGTATTCCCAAATACTTGTATTGGTCTTTGGGTGAATATTCAGGAAACCAGAATTTATTCAGACCTGTCCCATAGGGTATAATGGAGAATTTCATTCGCTGAGTTATACTGCCATGGTGGCGCAACTCAGCAAGTTCAGAGGGCATTTAAACTTTAAGCGTGTTCAGTTCACTTGCACAGTTCTGCCGTCATGGCATAGTTAGTGAACTGAAGGCATTTAATCTTTAAATGCCTTTAGTTCACTTGTGGAGTTGTGCTGCGGCAGCAGCGCGACCCAGCGAGTAAACTGAATGATTTTACAATTTAAATGCCTTCAGTTTGCTTGCTGAGTCGAGTGCGGCTTTAGTTAGCCAGTGAGGTATAGAAGAAGAACACCGGCTTTTATTAGGGCGTGGCTATTTCAGTAGCCAAATCAGATTGTCTGATCTGTATTTGGGTGAATAAATACCCGAAAAATACCAATAGGGTATTTTTCTGGTAATTGGCTCGGTATATACCGAGCACACACCCCTAATTGCATCCATGCAGGAAGAAGGGTCCGTCCTAGCTAGGGGATCCTGCTGGAGAGCTACAACTCTTCCCATTTCAGATGCTGACTAGGCCTGTTATCCACATAGGAGAAGACAGCTAATCCCAGGGGAGGGGCATTAAACCATAGCTGATAAACTTGATTGCACCATCTATTTTGATCAGCCAATATTTAACTTCCAGTGACAATATTTAATATTAAAATGTACTGCGTGTAATATGCATTGGACACTGGCTATTTTTATAACATTGTGATTACATTAATTAGATGATATTTATAGATCCTCCTTTTTTTCTTTAAGAGTGAGATCCACCCAGTGCCACTGCTGTGATTACCAATTACGATTTGCATGAGAATGTACTATACACCTAAGGTGGGCTTCATTTGGTCTTCTTTATCCATGACAGTCCAACCACTACAGAGAGCAGGATTTCCTTATTTCTCTGTCCTCATACAAAGAGAAATTGGGAACAAATGTAAATCTCCGAATTGTACAATTTGGCTATGGGGGCAGTGTTTGTGGGTTTATTTCTGAATTTATTTCTGAATTTCGCACTTTGTTTGCTGATCAAAGCTGCACAATGAGAGCCAATGCTTATTGGCAAGCTTTACTGTCTTTGAGACAAAAATTCTCTGCATTCGGCTTTCAGATTCAGCTCAGCTGGGTGGCAGTTTTTTATATATCATGTGACTCTTTCGTTTGCCAACCACTCTCTTTGCACAGGTGTCTCCAACTGTGAATTCCACAGTGGCAAGGCAGAGGTCGTGTTGCCCCAATTGCTGATGTCCTGGCCAGAGACCCAACCTCTCACTGCCGTGGTGAACCCATCCCGAGCTGGGCTCCGTAAGACAACCCTTTCTTTTTCAGATCCAAGCTGGTGCAAAATTGCAGAGTATCTTTAGGACTGAGGAGTTTTTTCCTCTGTGTGAGTTTGATGGGGCAGCGGTTGGTTCTGACGTTTGGGCCAAACTGAAAACTCCTTTGGAGCTGTCCAGGCTGGAATTTCAGCAATGTGGGCTGTAAGCATCACTCAATATATGTTACATGCTCATATCACTGTTTTGGTTTTGGCCAGCTCTGATTTCCAAGGGCAATAGATCTGGGTTTTCTCCATACTCTGAGGTTCAAAAAGATAGTTCCAAAAATGTTCAAAAAGTGCTGTGTGATACCCTGGAGAAAACTTCATTTGCTGCGGGCGGCCCAAGTTTTCACAGGCAACAACCTAGTTTCCTGGATGTAGGATGCAAGCCTGGAACTCGGCAAACATTAGTGGCCTGGAAGCAAACTGGATTTAATAAAGATAACAGGTCTGCATGTGCCTACTTGGCATTTATGTAGCACCTCAGAGTGTTCCCCTGTAGGAAAGCAATGCAGATGGATTCTCCTGCCTGGAAATCGGGAACTGAAATACTTATACGTAATGAGAGCCCAAGATGGAATCTGTTTACTGCTCACTGACGCAGTCGGTGTGGCCATGAGAGAGAGGGGGAGGAACTGATAACAGAGAACTTGCCTGCACACACACATTCCTTAGTTCATGTCTCATGAATAGGATGATGTAATGTATGAAAGAAAGGAAGGGACGGAGGAAAAGATTTTCAGTAAATACAGCTGGTGAGTGAGAGGAGATTCATTCATTGAGACAGCTTCCTGCAGACTTGTGTCCTGTCGTCTTTGCATCGCGTGCACCCCTGCACCCCACACCCCAACAAGTGACACCACACTCCCCAAACCCTTCAGCTACATTCTTAGCAATCCTGTGAGGACAGCTGTGCTGGGTTGAGGCTGAGGCTATAATGGTTCCTCTAAGGCCTGCCTGTAGGAATGCCAACTTCCAGGTGGAACCTGGAGTGTTCTCCCATAGTTATAACTGATCTTCAGGCCACCACTGCAGGTGGGTGGAGAAGGAGGGAGGCTGGGAACTGCCAACTTTCTCACTGTGTCTCCCAGTCAAGCAGCACGGAGGAGGGCCGGGCACATGGGCAGAGCAACAAGGAAGGGGGAAGGCAGGCAGAGCAGGGAGGAGAGGGCAAGTGAGATATCCCCCACCACACCCCGTGAGTTTAGCAGGTTCTACGGGGGAGCGGGAGCCTGAGAGTAAGCAGGTGGAAGAGAGAAGAGAGGATGGGATCCCTCTCACAGGCCTTGCAAGTCCACCGCTCGTCATATGGCTAATTCTGCCTCTGATCCTGTGTGGATCAAAAAACCCAGAGAATGGGGCCAGGAACAGATATGGGGCATTTCTCTGTAGACCTGGGGTGTGGGAAGGATAACCCCTGGTTGCAGAAACGTACCAAAAGAGTTTAGAATGTAACTTTTAAGGAAAATACCAAGATTTTACCACACTACATTGCAAGGAGTCAGCCACCGTATTAGAAAGAGGAGGAGCAGCTATTATGTCATTGTGTGAGCTAGGCTGGTGGGAACAGAGGAACCTGGGCAGGTGGGTGAGAAAGAGCGGGAACTGCCATCACCGCCACTCTGCTGCCAGTGCTGCTGGTGGGTGATGAGGAGTGGCAGCCGCCACTGCCACCTTCCGTGTGAGGCAGGCAGAGGTGCTGCAGGTGTGTGGGGGGGATGCCGGAGCTCCCTGCTGCCATCACAGAAGCTATGTGAGTCAAGCAAGTAGATGCAGTAGCACCACAGGTGGGTGGGTTGGCTGGTGACGTGGCCGGCCAAGAGAGTAGAGAGGGAGGATGGGATTTCCCTGCAAATCTTGCAGGTCTCTGCTGGTGAACATCTCTAGAGTGTGTGAGTATGATTCCTTGTCCTTCCTTTTCCAGATTACCGCGTGGTGCGAGCCATTCGAAACTGTGAGGCCATCCGAAGACTGGTATATGTTTCTTGCAAGCCTGAAGGAGAAGCCATGAGAAATTTCCTTGAGTGAGACACTTGGATTCTGTCTTTCTGTACCTGCAGGGACATATGCAAATGTCTACAGGGAAATCACTCAGCAAGTCAATGGAATACGCGTAGGATGTTTTGACTGACAAATAAACAGCTTACAAGAATAGCAAGGAATATAATTTAAAATTTTTAAAGTAAACCAGCTGTACCTTGGGTGGGTCATGTTTTGGGCTGGTTCTGATAGTTTGGCCAAGGCCACAAGGCACAGGGGAAGAGCCAAGAGGTCAAACAGGCCCATAGCGAGGATTTTGTGGCTTGTGGGGCAATTTTTTTTCTGGTGGAGCTGAAGTTCTCAGTGCAGAAAGAAAAGCTATTTAGTGAATAGAAAGCTGTTCCCAGGATAGATCTCTAAATTGCAACCTGTCAACCACATTAGATGAAAGTTCTCAGCTGCTGCAAGTTAATCACTTCTGCCAGCCTAAGCAGCAATTCTGACAACAAACCAGCAAGTGGGGGTGATGACTTCTATAGTCAAGAATGCTAACACTTAGGCAGAAAAACTCTCTTAAAGGAGACTGTCATGAGAATTTTGGGTTTGTCTTCACAAATGGATTCAAAACTTTGGTTCTGTCTTAACAGCAAGTTCCCATGAGCCTTTGCCTACAGGTCACCTGACTATCTTTTCTTCCCATGAGAAGGGAAACACAGGTTTCCTGTTTCCTCTGCATCTGGTCTTTGAGCATCTACATAAGAAGTAATAAAAGAGTAATTTAGAGGCCTGCAGGTATGGTAATGCAATAAACAATTCGGTTTTAACTCTCCTTTTGGTATGCAGAAGTGTGAAAGGGCTTCAGGTCGAGGACTCTTGTTATCTTTTCTCCAAGAACATTAAGAAATATCCTGTCACTGCCTATTCCAAAAGCTTTCTATTTGCCAAGGAGTGATGGGGCCGGATGCCATGATCTTAGTTTTTTTGATGTTGAGCTTCAAGCCCACTTTTGCGCTCTCCTCTTTTACTCTGAGCAAGAGGCTCTTTAGATCCTTTTCACTTTCAGCCATTAGAGTGGTATCATCTGCATATCTGAGGTTGTTGATCTTTTCCCCAGCAATCTTAATTCCCGCTTGTGATTCATCCAGGCCAGCATTTCGCATGATGTACTCTGCATATATATTAAATAAGCAAGGTGACAGTATACATCCTTGTCGTACTCCTTTTCCTATGCTGAACCAATCAGTTGTTCCGTATCCGGTTCTAACTGTCGCTTCTTGGCCCTTATACAGGTTTCTCAAGAGACATGTGAGGTGGTCTGGTACTCCCATCTCTTTAAGGACCTGCCATAGTTTGTTGTGATCCACACAGTCAAAGGCTTTAGCATAGTCAATGAAGCAGAAGTAGATATTTTTCTGGTACTCTCTTGCTTTCTCCATAATCCAGCGAATGTTGGCAATATGATCTCTCGTTCCTCTACCTCTTCGAAACCCAGCTTGTACTTCTGGTAGTTCTCTATCCACGTACTGTTGAAGCCTAGCTTGTAGGATCTTGAGCATGACCTTGCTAGCGTGTGATATGAGTGCAATTGTGCGATAGTTTGAACATTCCTTGGCATTGCCCTTCTTTGGGATTGGAATGTATACTGATCTTTTCCAATCCTGTGGCCACTGTTGCGTTTTCCAAATTTGCTGGCAAATGGAGTGCAGAACTTTAACAGCATCCTCTTCTAAGACTTTGAATAGCTCAGCTGGGATACCATCACCTCCACTAGCTTTGTTGTTAGTAATGCTTTCTAAGGCCCATTTAACTTCACATTCCAGGATGTCTGGCTCGAGGTCAGTGATTATACCGTCGTGGTTGTCAAGGACATCGAGGTCTTTCTTGTATAGTTCTTCTGTGTATTCTTGCCATCTTTTCCTAATCTCTTCTGCTTCTGTTAGGTCCCTACCGTTTTTGTCCTTTATCATGGCCAGCTTTGCATGGAACGCTCCCTTTATTTCTCCAATTTTCTTGAAGAGATCTCTAGTCCTTCCCATTCTATTGTTTTCCTCTATTACTTTGCATTGTTCATTCAGGAAGGCCTCCTTATCTCTCCTTGCTGTTCTCTGGAAATCTGCGTTCAGTTGGGTAAATCTTTCCTTTTCGCCTTTGCCTTTCGCTTTCCTTCTTTCCTCTGCTATTTGTAAAGCCTCATCAGAAAGCCATTTTGCTTTCTTGCATTTCTTTTTCTTTGGGATGGTGGTGATTGCTGCCTCCTGTACAATGTCACGAACCTCCGTCCATAGTTCTTCAGGCACTCTATCTATCAAATCTAGAGCCTTGAATCTATTCTTCACCTCTACTGTATATTCATCAGGGATGCGATCTAGGTCAAACCTGAATGGCCTAGTGGTTTTCCCAATTTTCTTCAGTTTAAGTCTGAATTTTGCAATGAGTAGCTCATGATCTGAGCCACAGTCAGCTCCAGGTCTTGTTTTTACTGACTGGATAGAGCTTCTCCATCTTTGACTGCAAATTATATAGTCAATCTGATTTCGGTGTTGCCATCTGTCGTCAGACAGCCACTTTGCTTTCTTGCATTTCTTTTTCTTTGGGATGGTGGTGATTGCTGCCTCCTGTACAATGTCACAAACCTCCGTCCATAGTTCTTCAGGCACTCTATCAAATCTAGACCCAACATCATCCTGCAAGCTTCCAGGGGAGATCAGGGATTCAAATCTAGGTCTCCCGGATCCCTGTCCAAAAGTAAACACTATACCATGCTAGCTGTAAGGCACTGCATATCATCTATTTCTGCATTATAATGGTACCAAGTATCTCCTTTATTGTCTGCATAGGTTTTGCTGCCCGCCGGATACTGGGAAGAAGCTAAAGGGAGAGGCCTTTGCTCCTGTCTCGGCGGTTCCAGTAGATCTCTTTCCTCACACGTCCCATTGTGAGCTGCTCCTGCTTTTGGCCCGTTGATTGCCCCTCCAGCATTCCTGGAACAGCTGGAGAGAAAAGGCTGCATTCCCTGATGAAATTGCTGTGACAGCTATTGAGCCTCAACCACCACGGAAGAAAAACAAAACAAGTTATTTGTGCTGTAATGTTTCCACCTGCATGATTCTCGTGTCTCTTCTTCAGATATTGCTGTCACAGTTTCCTGTGTGAATAATCAGGAGGAAATTTGTTTGACTGCTTTGCCGATACACCCATTCCTGCCCATTTCGCAGGGGTGAGCTCGCTTCTGCTGCTTGGACACATCTGTGCTACTCCGCCGTGCTTTTCCTATTGTCAGATCTCATCCAGTGCAAACGGCTTAGACGATGATCTACAGATGAAATCATCCCACATTTGATTGGTCCTTTTGGACCAATGTAAGCATTCCACTTGTCGAACCAAAGTGACTCAAGCCCTGATATGCAAATCAAATAAGCGTACACATGGTTATTAAAATCATCCAGGTCTGATGGATAAGGCGGAGTGCATTCTGCATCTGGCCCAAGGACATTTACAACCACAGCTGGATGCAGGTGGAAAAATATTACTTTGCAAGACTGTTAGGTTTTTCCCCCACAAACTTTTGCCCTTTTTCAAGTTGCCATTCATCTTTTCATAGGCAGGCTTCAGAATGAAGGAGTGGATCAGATTTATATGTATTTTATATCTTTTGTGAGTTACACATTATAAATTGTGGGCAAGGTTCGTTTTCCAGTATGGGCTGATGTTCCAGAATTTAGTGAAGACTGATAATCTGTATTATTTATTCCTGCTCTATATTTTTCTTAATCACATACGCTTTACTCCCAAACACACTACTAACTGATGTCCCATTGAAATCAACAGGCTTACTTCCAAGTAAAAGATATAAGGGACTGTGCAAATCGCACTGAAGTGGATGGGAGCCTGAATGTGCTGGGCCCTTGTGCAGAACATGAATCAACATACTGGAAGATAACTTGTTTAAAAAACTAACATCCTGTCCATTTCTAGCCCTCAAAGATTTATGGGTGATGGAGGACTGGGACTGCTAGGGTGTTTGTCAATGTCATTGGTTTTTTCAACCACTCTTGGGGATTCCTTGTTAACAGTGCTCTGCCATAATAATGATAATAATCGTGTTTTGCGTTTACATGGCATTTTAGAGCATTCATTACCTCTGTAATTATACACCTAGAGCCGAAGTTGTGCTGTAAGTCTTCTGGGGCTCAGTGCTTGGGTATCATTAACTCTGCTGCTTTAAAGAAAGGGCCATTCCCCCCCCTCCTCCAAGCTATGGCACAGTATGACAATCTACTGCTGTGGGATCAGAGTGCCTTGTAATAGCAGCTGAATGACCCGAAGTAGAAAGGCAGGGGCTGAAAGGTTAAATGGCCTTCCAGGGCAGAAAAGATGACCGACATCTGGACAGCCAGCATGGTGTAATGGTTAGAATGCTAGGCTAGGACCTGAGAGACCTGGGTTCAAATCCTCATTCTGCTGTGGTTGCTCACCAGGTGACCTTGGGTGAGTCACTCTTAGCCGAACTTCCCTCACAGGTTGGTTGTTGTGAGCAATGCTCCCTCTAAGCTGTGGAGTCTTGTGAGCAAAAATTCTACTTTGTGAACTACTGTCATCAGTTGTGAGTGAGCGATTTGGCTACTGCAGAAATTAGTTTGCTCTGGCACCATCTTTCCTGAGCTAAAACAAAATTGTGTGAGCTGGAGGCGAAAAAACTGAGCTAGCTCACACATACTCAGCTGAAAGCAGGGGTGTCAAACATGAGTCCTGAGGGCCAGATCAGGCCCCTGGAGGGCTTGTATCAAGCCCACAGTGGAACTGGCTGTCTTCTGCTGCTTCTTCCAGTTCTGCTGCTGCTGCTACGTCATTGTAGATTTGCAGTTTACCGATACACACCTGAACAGCATACTCAAGATTGCAACAGCACAGACATTTTGATGCAATAATTCAGAGCAAGAGGTGTCAGTTATCAGACACTGTTAAATAAACAAAATATTGCAAGAGTGCTAATGTTTTAAGCATGTTTTTATTTTAGTAAAAAAAAAATTTTGTGTTTGTGTCCCTTATAAAGTTTATATCTCTGCTACCTGGCATTACATTTTATGACACACATGGCCTGGCCCAACAAGGTCTCATTTATGTCAGATCCAGCCCTCACAACAAATGACCCCTGGCTTAGAGGGAACACTGGTTGTGCGGTATAAAATGGAGGAGCGGGAAACAATGTTGTAAAGCTGTTTTGGGTCCTCATAGGGGAGAAAAGCAGGGTATAAATATCTAAACAAATGTTTCCTGAACTGCAAGCAGACTATGTAACTCTTGTGTTTTGAGCCAAGAGTTGAGTTCAAGTATCTGAGGGTCTTTCTCCCCCTCTTGCTTCAACCCCCACCCCTGGAAACCTGAGACTTCCTTTAAATTTTTTTGTTACCTCCTGTTAGCAATGGTCTCACAAGCCATGTTTCTGTTTGTCCAGGTGCTCAAGACGTCCCTCCGCTGCCTGGGTCTCTGCCCAGTGAGGCACCCCTTCCATCCCAGTTTGGTGTAATGGTTAGGAGCACGGACTCTAACCTGGGAGAACCGGGTTTGATTCCCCTCTCCTCCACATGCAGCTGGCTGGGTGACCTTGGGCCAGTCACAAGTTTTTTCCGAGCTGTTCTTTCAAGGGCAGTTCTCAAGAGAGCTCTCTCAGCCCCACCTACCTCACAGGGTGTCTGTTGTGGGGAGGGGAAGGGAAAGGAGATTGTAAGTCACTCTGAGTGAAGGGCAGGGTATAAATCCAATCTCTTCCACTCCCAGATTGCTAACTTCTCTCTTTGTACTCTCCTGCCATCAACTAGCCTGGGACAGTATCTCTTGCTAAAAGGATTAGTACTTTTAGCACACTTTACCACGCAGCCATCTAAAGACTGCCTGTTTGCTGCATGTCCCACTCCATTCATACTGACACTTTCAAGCCTTTGCACATGAGGCATGATGAGCTCAACAACTGCCCCTTCCCCTTTACTGCTCTCTGGAAAGTGGGAGTGAATTAGGCTTGGTGTAGGTACAGAGTTCAGAACTCAGGCATTCAGAATATAAGAAAGTTTAATAAATGAATAAGAATCTTACACATAATATGAACAAGCATCATGCTGTGTGAGGATAAAAAGAAACAGTGTAAACAAGCAGTCCTCTGAAACTTTTAAAAATATATATATTTTATTTCGCTTTTAATTCCCATAATACAAGTTTATACAAAACATCATAACAAAGGAAGAAATAACATTTAAACTAATTTGTCAAGGATAGCCTACAATATGCCCAAGTTGGATTGATTTCTAATATATCTATTGTCCTATCTTTATAATCCACTTGGGAACGTTCCCACAAACTTAATTCTACGTTCCAAAAATATATCATTATACAATTCATACATCTTTTGTTTCCCTTACCCCCCTTAACCCCAAATTATTTTTTTCAATTGCTATTAATTACTTGTCAATTTATTTCTTTACACTTCTAATATATAATTTTATTATGTAATTATTACAATTAAAGGAAAGCAAGAATTACTGCTGAACACCCAATTTTTAATCTAGTGTTTATCTTCGGGACGTGCTGCCCACTTCGGAATCTTTGGTTCCCCAAAGGAGTCCCTAAAAGAGATTCGCCATTGGTGGGCTGGGGATCTTCCCCATATAGTCTTACCCGCGTTACCCAACTTACATTTAAGTAAAAGTTTTTATTCCAGCACTGCCTATTTCACATCCTTATCAGGTCTAGTCCTATGAGCCACTGGCAGCCTGCATAATAGCTGTAACCCTTTCCTCTCCCGAAGGTACATCATGGACTGTCCAAGTCCTTCCCCCTTGGGTAACTCTGAGATGACCCAGAGGTAACCACCTATATGATATTTTTAGCTCTTTTAGTCTCTGTACCACTGAACACATATTTCTTCGAGCCGTCAAGATTTCATACGGGAGATCTGGGAATATTTGGGTGATAACATCATCTAGTTTCAAACCTTTTGGCTACGAGCAGTTTCTAAAATTAATTTCTGTCTTTGAACATTTACAATCTCTGCAAAAACATCTGGGATTAAGGCTGGTGACGTGGCTCTACTAGTGTTTAGTCTGTATGCTGTCGTAACCACTGTACCCGAAAGTTTCAGCTCACCACTCAGCCACGAATTTAAAGCTGTAGTCAGGTTGGTGTTCAGTTCAAAGTTTGGTGGAATCCCGTAAATTTTAATTTTCCGCTTACACACTCTTGAGTTCTAGTAACACTAACTTACTTTTGGGCCAGGCTTCATAATCACATAGCTCCAAGATAGCTTGTTTGTTATTTTTCACTTCTGCCGCAGCTGAGTCTGCAACTGCTTTAATTTCTTCCATGCTCTTTGTTAAGTTGTCTATTTTTGTAGTCATTGGAGTGATAAGACTCTTGATTTCTTCTTTAGATAATTTCATTTCTTCCTCAGCTGGTAGAGGTCTGTGTATTTTCTTCTTTTGACCTTTGGGTCCTCCCATCTCAGCCTTCAAGATTAGGAGTTTTATTATTATTTATGGTAGGCATTTTAAATTCTTCTGAAACTTTATACTTATCCTAAATGGTGTTGAATTCGGATAGACTACTAACTCTTAGGGTTGCAGCATTTAAAATTTATCTTTTACCTTCATTCTCAGAGGCTGGGACTTCTCCCCATTTTTCCTAGATATGTGGTCAAGATGGAGTCCCATTGCAAAGGCTTAGTCCTTCGTGACTTGAGCAAATACAGGCAAAGAAGAAGAGAGGCAAAAGAGCTTCCTTATATGGAGAATGTCTACTCTCCCCATTGTGAGTCCATCCTTCTCTAGGGTCATTCCCAATCTTCCAGACCCAAAAGAAATATGATCTAGGGGCTTCTGGCCTGTCCAGTCTCTGTCCCTTACATATGACAATCCAGCTGAGGTGTTAGCTGCTAAACCTTTTGTCTTACTCTGGCCAGCCCCATTTGCATCTCAAAGTATAGGTGCTTGGGAAATCACTGATTTATCCCCTGTACTTTCCCTCTTGCCAGTTGGAAACTTGCAGCAAGTCTCTTGGAGCATGAGCAGAGTGTAGACTGTACCCCATGACTGTAACATAGATGGGAAGTCTGGGGTGGAGGGCATTTCTTCACACCTCCTATCCACACATTTTGGATAGTGCAAAATAAATATAATTGAATCAGAAAGACACCACATGAACAAGACCAGATTCTAGGATACATGTTTCAAACACTTATGGCTTTTTTTCAGGCTTTTTCTTTACGGTAGCATGATCCTTGGGGCATGTTATAGACAACAGATATGCAGTTTCAACAGCCATTGGACTTGGGAGCAGTGTTCCCTCTAAGCTGAGTTAGTGTGAGCTAGCTCACAGTTTTTAGCCTCCAGCTCACACATTTTTGTCTCAGCTCAGGAAGGACGGCTCCAGAGCAAACTAATTTATGCAGTAGCCAAATCGCGCGCTCGCAACTATAATGCCAGTAGCATACAAAGTAAAAATTTTGCTCACAGGACCCCACAGCTTAGAGGGAGCATTGCGGTAGCATCCTTGATTCTCACATTTTACAGAGTGCTCTTTCAGGGAAGGAGAAAGGAAGCAAGAAAGCTGCTGCTCTTCTGGCCTGGGGTCAAGCTGGTCTTCCTGCAAGAAAGGAGTGTGACCTCCCCATGACCCTTGCAGTTTACAGAAGCCAAAGAATTCTTCCTTACATGTCTTTAATCGGCATGTCCCGTCCTGGCTACACCATTAGCTATTGTAAATGCTCCCAATGGCCTTTTAAAGATATTTTATATTTATATCTTCTTTATTTATATTTGTCTTTATACTTGCATTATTCAGAAGTTCTTTTGGGGAAACAGAGGCCATTCCATATGAACATAAGAAGCAGGTTTTTACTGAATCAGACTGTTGGTCCATTTAGCTTCCTCCTATCTACGGGGCTGGCAGCCCTTCTCCAAGGTCTTAGGCAGAGACAGATTCCCCCCTCACCTGCTATCTCCAGTCCTTTGAAGTGGGATGCCAAGGACTGAAATCAGCAGAGTATTCTGCATGCAAAGCAAGCGTTCTACTGCTGAGCCACTGATAACCAGCTTGGAGACACCATGTCACCAAACACCTTTTTGGAATAGGTCCAAGAAAGGAAACACAAGCCTCTGTTAGCTTCTCCAGCAGAATTGGGGGGGGGGGGTTGTTTTGCTGCTTTGTAACTGAACTGCCAGACATTTTGTGAGTGTATTTCTTAGTCTGTTGCAGCAAAATAAAATGGAATGCTGGTAGGCACCTCTCCTTGCATCCGATGAACTGAGTTCTGACTCATGAAAGCGAACCCCGGAATAAATGTTAAGACTATAAGATGCCACTGGACTTCTGTTTTATTTTGTGCGTACATGAGGGCGTCTGCGGGTGTGTAAACCGTTGTGCAATTTTCCTCTTGAGGACAAGGGCAGAAATGAATTTGCGGAAGAGCCCCCACCCCCACCCCCAAATCCTCCCTTTTCCTCAGCAATCTTTTTTCTTTTCTCTCCCATTCTTTTGCAGCGAACATCTCACTGTCAGAGAGAGCCTGAGGGACACTAGGACCCAGAGGCCGCCAAGCAGCAGAGGCAGGCTCCTGCTCTGACATCTTCCCTGCCTCTGCAGCCTTCCTCTGCTGATCTCCTTCCATGGTGACTGACCACCGCCGACCCAGCCCAGGTGCCAGACCGCGGGAGGAGCAGCGCTCTGACCCCAATGGCCTCTCCCAGGACAGTCACCATCGTGGCCCTCTCGGTAGCCCTGGGGCTCTTCTTTGTCTTCATGGGGACCATCAAACTGACCCCTCGGCTCAGCAAAGATGCTTACAATGAAATGGTGAGTAGCTCGGCTAGGGTGGGAGACATTTTGCTGGCACTGGCAGCGTTCCCCAAACTGAACTGCCAGACATTTTGTGAGTGTATTTCTTAGTCTGTTGCCGCAAAATAAAATGGAATGCTGGTAGGCACCTCTCCTTGCATCCGATGAACTGAGTTCTGACTCATGAAAGCGAACCCCGGAATAAATGTTAAGACTATAAGATGCCACTGGACTTCTGTTTTATTTTGTGCGTACATGAGGGCGTCTGCGGGTGTGTAAACCGTTGTGCAATTTTCCTCTTGAGGATAAGGGCAGAAATGAATTTGCGGAAGAGCCCCCACCCCCACCCCCAAATCCTCCCTTTTCCTCAGCAATCTTTTTTCTTTTCTCTCCCATTCTTTTGCAGCGAACATCTCACTGTCAGAGAGAGAGAGAGCCTGAGGGACATTAGGACCCAGAGGCCGCCAAGCAGCAGAGGCAGGCTCCTGCTCTGACATCTTCCCTGCCTCTGCAGCCTTCCTCTGCTGATCTCCTTCCATGGTGACTGACCACCGCCGACCCAGCCCAGGTGCCAGACCGCGGGAGGAGCAGCGCTCTGACCCCAATGGCCTCTCCCAGGACAGTCACCATCGTGGCCCTCTCGGTAGCCCTGGGGCTCTTCTTTGTCTTCATGGGGACCATCAAACTGACCCCTCGGCTCAGCAAAGATGCTTACAATGAAATGGTGAGTAGCTCGGCTAGGGTGGGAGACATTTTGCTGGCACTGGCAGCGTTCCCCGGGTCTGCCTGCTTCTCCCGTCATGAGCTGCCCTAGCTGTGGATGTGCCAAGGCTGGGGGTGGAGGGTGGGGAATGGGTACCACAAACAGCATCTTTGGTTGGCAGGGAAGCCCAAATCTCACCCACTTGCTGCTCAGCTCCCCTTAGCTGTCAATCAGTGGTTAGATCCCTCTGGCTTCCTATTCCCCCCTATTGCTTCTTTCCCCCCCCCCCCCAAAGCAAGAGAAGGGAAGGAGGATGGAGAAAATATGGAACGGAGAGGGCTGTCCATAAACATGTGAAATTCTTGCTTTAAATGAGATGTACCAGGGCATGGCAAGGATGCCCATATTTTCCATTCTTTCTGTATACGGGGAGCAAGATAATACAGGACCCCAAAGGGATGCCTTAAGATGATATGGGGCCGGGGGGGGGGGGGGGGGGGGTGTGTCCAAGGGCAAGGCCAGCAATATCTGGTCCTCTGAAGTGGCCTGCCTCAGGCAGCTGATTTGGGGATACTATTAACCAATTATTGTTAATTACCTTTACAAGAGGGGTCATTTGGATGACCTGTCTGGGGCATTAGAAAGGTCTCCAGCCTCATCAGGCAAAGGGTAATTTACATGCTGCCCCCCACCAGAGAAGATTCTGGAAAATGACACCTTTGGATTCTCTCTCAGCCAGGGATTTCTGGCTGAGGAAGTGCAGTGTCTCTCCCTGTAGCTTGGATGCTTTCCACCCTTTCCTATCCTGGCTCCACAAAATCTGATAGTGAGCCCTGTGGGCAATTGGAGCCCAGTTGCCCCTCAACCATTTAAGGCTTTCCTTTCCTGGTTTGCTAGGATTGTTTTTCCAAGGTGAGAAACACACCACCATGGAAGTTTCCAGCATGTTCTGGTATTACTCCTGATATACTCTCCTCCCTAGGGAAGCAGATGAATGAATTGTAGTAGTTCTGTTCATTGCTAAGCTGCCTGAGGGGAGGCCTGGCAAAATAACTGTCCTCGTGAGGTATAAAGAGAAAGGGTAGCTGACTGAAATAGCCTAGGCTGGTTTTAAAATCCTAACCTAGTAAACCCCCTTTTCTTGTGCTACTGTCTATTAATTTAAATATGCCTCAGTGTTACCAGCAGTGGTGATTCTCTGTGATGTCACTTTTTGGAATTTTTCTGTATCCTTTTTTTAGATGTAGTATTTTTTAAACAAACCCACTGTTGTTAGTTGCTTTACTCTGTAACATTCTAGAACTCTGGTTTCAATCCTCATTCCAGAGGGGGAACCTTCTTTAGATCTGAGTGTTGCTTCTCCCACTTTGCCTATCTATGGAGTGGTGCTCGCCCACTCTGGATGGACTGAGTTCTCTCAAACTGGTTTTGCTTACAAACTGGCCTCTCTTTGTAACATCTCTCCACTCTGTTGCTCGTAACATTAAATGTAAATACCGTATATCTGCTATGGGATGTGTACTTCATGCATCTGGCTCTGCCTCATGCAGGCTTATGCTGAAATAAATCTTACTAGTCTTTAAAACTGCTGTGGGGCTTCTCTGTGATTTTGGATTCCGATAATATCTCCAAAAAAAAAACCCAACACCTGAACATAGCTTCCATTCTTCAGCTTTCAGGTATTTCTAAATTACTCTTTGCAAATAACTTACTTCATGTAACCTAAACTTCATTTTGCTTCATTTTCTTCCCTCCACACACCTGACCATAGCTTCCATCCTTCAGCTTTCAGTTATTTCTAAATTACTCTTTGCAAATAGGTTCAATAACTTACTTCATGTAACATAAACTTCATTTTGCTTCATTTTCTTCCCTTTTACTCCACTCTTCTCTTGGTATTTCTTCCAACTCCCAAATTGCTTTTTTCCATTGGAATAAGTTGCCATTCCTACTCCTTAGCTGACTGACCAGCAAAAGGAACACCCAATCTGTCCTCTTCCTGTCTGGGACCAGGAGGCAGGACTTCTAGTCAAAGGGTGTTACCTTCCTCAGCATCAGAAGACTGGCAACTTTTTAAAATACTTGCTAGCAAGAGTAATAGGATACAATTCATCAAGGGATGAACAACCTTGCAAAGTCAAGGGGGAAAGCCAGTCTACCACCACCTAGAGTTCCCAGGAAGCCTGAAGAAAAATGACCTGTCCCTTTAAAAGAGGCTTACCTGGCAACTAACATGCTAATAAGTCTCTCTTAAAGGGACAGGACACTTTCCCTCCAGGCAGTTGGCAACCGTAAACCTAGGAGAAGCAGAATGAGTATCTGTTGTGTTCACTAACAGGTGAGTTGACATGAGTTATTTGGTAAAATAACCCAGGATCCCAGTGAACAATGGAGTTACGGTTGTGTTCAAATACTTTGTTGATAAGAACAAAAGAGACGCCAATGTTGGATCAGGCCAAAGGCCCATCCAGTCCAACACTCTGTCACACAGTGGCCAAAAATACCAGGTGCCATCAGGAGGTCCACCAGTGGGCCCAGGACACTAAGAGCCCTCCCACTGTTGACCCCCCCAAGCACCAAGATGACAGAGCATCACTTGCCCCAGAGTCCCTATCTATACCTTGTGGCTAATAGCCACTGATGGACCTCTGCTCCATATGCTTATCTAATTCCCTTTTGAAGCCGTCCATGCTTGTAGCTGCCACCACTTCCTGTGGCAGTGAATTCCATGTGCTAATCACTGTTTGGGTGAAGAAGTACTTGCTTTTATCTGTTCTAACCCGACCGCTCAGCAATTTCATTGAGTGCCCACGAGTTCTTGTACTGTGAGAAAGGGAGAAAAGTACCTCTTTCTCTACCTGCTCTATCCCATGCATAATCTTATAAACTTCAATCATGTCACCCCTCAGTCATTTCTCCAAGCTAAAGAGCCCTGCAAGTGATCTGCAAGTGCTGTTGTATCTACCACTAAATGGAAAATAGATGGATAAATCCAATAGGAGTACAACTCAGTCCTGTGTCTGTTTGCTCAGAAGTACTTTCAGGAGATTGCAGATTTAGTATTTATAGAATGAGAGCTGTGTATCCAAGAATAAGAATAACACAAGTTTAATACCCCTGTTCAGCCATGAAGTTCATCTGTGATGCCATTGTGGTAGTGGTGGAAAATGCCATCAAATCCCAGCTGACTTATAGGCAGGAAACGTTTCAGAGGTGGTTTGCCATTGCCTGCCTCCGTGTCATGGCCCTGGTATTCCTTGGAGATCTCCCATCCAAATACTAGCCAGGGCCATCGCTGCTCAGCTTCCAAAATCTGACGAGATTGGGCTAGCTTAGGCTATCCAGGTCAGACACCATCGGAGGCAGAGTCACACCTTTCTAAGCCGATTGGTTTAATGGACTTAGAAGGATGTGATTCTACTTATGATGGAACTGTAGGTGACCTGGGGCCAGTCACGATCTCAACATAGCCCAGCTTACCTCCAAGGCTGTTGCAAGGACAAAATGAGGAGACACCATGCATGCTGCCCTGAGATCCTTAGCGGAAGAGTGGGTTTTTAAAAACTGTAGCAAATATTTCCCTAAACATTCAGAATACTTCTCAGTAGCTGCTCAGCAACCAGTGCTTTTAGCACTCAGAAGATGGGATGGGATGGAGCTCAGAGGAAGAGAATCTGCGTTGCATCCAGAAGATCCCAGGTTCAATCCCTGGCATCTCCACTTTGAAAAAAGGGTGAGATAGTCAGGGACCCGAGAGAGACCTTAGACACTCCCTACCCGTCAGAGGAGACAGGGCTGATCTTGATAGACGAAGGGTCCCACTCAGTGGTCACGTCCATACCAGGATTCTGGCATGGTCACCAAAGAAGGAAAAGAAAGTCCTATCCTGTTAAAGGTAAAGGTTCCCTTGCTCGAAAGCCAGTCAAGTCCGACGCTAGGGTTGCGGTGCTCATCTCCGTTTCAAAGCCGAAGAGCCAGCGCTGTCCGAAGACGTTTCCGTGGTCATGTGGCCGGCATGACTAAACACCAAGGCGCACGGAACGCTGTTACCTTCCCACCGAAGTGGTACCTATTTATCTACTTGCAATTTCATGCTTTCGAACTGCTAGGTTGTTAACAGAGGCTTAATGGGATGTTATTTACCAAGTGATGCTATTTACTCCCATGCTGTGAAAAGCTTCGATTGCCCATTTCTATACATTAAGCCACTGTTAAAGGGACAGGACATTTTTCTCCAAGCCTGTTGGCAACCCACATTTTGGTCTCCCTTGGCTGCTAAGGTGAAGCATTTCTTCCCCTACTTTCACAAAGCATGTGCCTGCGTTCATGCACCTTCCAACTTTTCCCTGGGTTTGTTGCAATCTCTCATAATCTGCTTTACTGGACAATATTTTTGGAAAGACTACAGTCAAGCCTGGGTGGATGAGAAAATGCAGATCTTTCCTGGTCCCACCAACTACGATGCCCCAGTCCCCCAGTGGTTGCCAAAACCCCCCCCATGCAACAGGAGGGCTTGGGGGAAGTTCTTAGTTGGCAATTAGTATATCACTATACCACAGAAACGTCTTTGGACAGTGCTGACTCTTCGGCTTGGAAATGGAGATGAGCACCACATCCCTAGAGTCGGATTCAAGTGGCTTTCGAGCAAGGGAAACCTTTACCTATAGTGGTATGCAGCGGTCATTTTGTAGGAAAAGAGGTGCAGGAGCTCATTAGCATAACTCATTAGCATAACTTATTTGCATATGCCACATACCCTGGCATCACCAGAAGTGTGTCAGAAGGCAACACCCACCACTCAGGCTCCATTGGACTGTTTTGGATTGCTAGCTATGAGTGAGGGGACGCGCAGATCCTCGTGCTCCTCGTGGCCCAGGGCTGCTGGGAGCAGGGGGTGGGGCTTGTTGCATGTGCCCGCCCCCTGGGCTCTTTACTGCCGGAGCTCCGCTCCTGTGCACTCCTGCAGGAAATGACCCCTGGTGGTATGTCAATTAGCAGTTGGGGGGGAAGCGCTCTGGTGGCAGGTGAAATGGCAGCTACTGCGGGCTCAGGCAAAAGAGATTTTTATTTAATTAATTATATTTTTAAATCGTCTAATCCCTGTGACTGCGGGGCTCTAGGCGATGTACAGATTAAAAGCAATAAAAGCCATAAAACCATAATCAGACAATATAATTAATTAATTAGAATCAAGTGGCAATTTTTGTGGTTCCCTCCCATTTCTGACCTGTGGGCGCTTCGTGCTGGGAAACCCACCACATGGATGCTCTGTTGCCACTGCAAATGCCTCTCCGTTCACAGAAGCAACAAGAGCCCCATTGCTGTGTGGAAGAGGCCAGCACAAGGTAGCATTCATGCATCCATGGGGCTGACTGCTGCGGAACAGCTGAGCCTGTGATGAAAGTCCCTATATAGCGACAGACCTTTCAACCTTATGATGAGAAATGGCACCCAAGGTGGGAGAGCATCACCTCTGATTCAGTTACTGATGGCTCCTCTCCACACAGGTGATTTAATTGCATTATGAGCAAAACTGACTTCCAGCCGAGCACGTCCTTCAAGGCCGTGCGGCACTCGAGTGCGAAATGAGCTAGAACTCAGACGCCTACCGGCACTGAACACCCTCCCGTTGCTGTTTTCATTGCAGAAACGAGCCTACAAGAGCTACGTCCGCGCACTGCCCATGCTGAAGAAGATGGGGGTCAACTCCATCATGCTGCGCAAGAGCATCGGCACCCTGGAGGTGGCCAGTGGCATCGTCATGACGCTGGTCCCTGGGCGCCCCAAGGACGTGGCCAACTTTGTGCTGCTGCTGCTGGTCCTGGCTGTGCTCTTCTTCCACCAGCTGGTGGGCGACCCACTGAAACGCTATGCCCACGCCCTGGTCTTTGGGATCCTCCTGACCTGCCGCCTGCTGATCGCCCGTCAGCCGGAGGAGCCACTGCCCGAGAAGAGGACCCTGTCGGTGAATGGCGAGGAGCAGCCACTTCTTGCAGAGGAGGCTCCGGAGAAGGGCAAGATCAAGGTGTCCTAGTGAGGGGCCTATGAGGGACACGGACCCTCCCAGCAGCTCTCTCTCTCTCTCTCTTTCCCAAACACCTACTTAAAGATCGGAGTTTCTTTTTCTTTTGGTTTTTGTCAAGGGTTGCAAATTGGAGCATGGGGGGTGGGGCTTAGTTTGCAGGCTAACCAAGAACTTGGCTTCTGCACACCAACCCTCTTGAGCTGCTCTCTCCTGTACCCCCCCCTACACACGTAGACATGGTTAAACTTTCCAGATGAATAAGCGTTTCTTGTGTTGAGTGAGTGACTGTGTGTGTGTGTGTATGAGTGTGTGTATGAAACAGATGGCTGAATTGCTTAAGCTGACCTGCCTCTGCAACAGCTTGTATCCTTCAAGGGCAAAAAGGAGCACAGGAGGCCTAGATCCTGTGATCTGCACACGTCTCTGATCCTCTCCCCTCTCTGCCAAGCATCTAGCACTGGAGGGACAGACCCCCCCCCCCCCCACCTGAAATGAACTTTTTGTCCTGCTTCACTATGAGCCATGGCTGAATTGCTTAAGCTGACCTGCCTCTGCAACAGCTTGTATCCTTCAAGGCCAAACATCTGTCTGTGCTGCTGCCAAAAAGATCAGAGACCGCTCATTGCCTGCCTAGAAATAAATATGTTTTTTCCCACTATGCAGTTGCTCAGACTTGAAAGAGCAACAGGTTGCCGTGGCTGGGGTGGGTGAGGGCTTGGAGTGAAAGGCCACCTCCTTTGCCCACTGCGCTTGTCAATCTGACGAGCTCAAACGGAATGGAGTCCCTGTTCAGAAGCTGCTTCGGTTCTGTTAGTGCTGCACTTGGAAGGGGGAACAGAAGGAGAGGGGGAAACGGTCATCCGGGGAGAAATGTGTTTTTGGTTTTTCAGTGTGTTGCCTTTCTTGGTATTGTCTGGTTGACATCCTCCCTTCCTCCCCCTTTTTTTAATTTATGACAATAAACTTTTTGAAATTTGGAGGAAAAGCTTCCTTGGGTTTTGTATGAGTCCCAGTGCGGGTCGTATCCAGGGGTCGTTTCGTAGAAAAAGAGCTAGGGGGACTCATTAGCATAACTCATTAGCATATGCCACACCCCCTGACATCACC